TACATAGATTCTAAATTGTTCAAATTCATAATAGTCCCCTGGGGGTAGGGTGGGACCATAATAAGTATAACAATAGGGAAAATCCTGTGAAGAATAGCAGGGCCAAAGTTAGTCAGGTGAGCATTATGGCCCATTGGCCTCCCAATTTTGTTTTTGTTTGAGTGTGTGTGTGTGTGTGTGTGTGTGTTTCACAGTATTTTTCTGAATTACTGTAAAATTCTTGCTGTGGGTGATCGCTTAATCAGAATGTTATTGATCCAGATTCATGTTACCAAAACTATTGGTCTTGATGTGTCAGGTTTTTCCACATCAAGTGTTTTCATGCATTAATACTAAAAAGATTCATACATCACTTAAGAAGCAATTACATGCCTGTCATGTTATTAGCTCTACTGGTCAGAGACCAGAAGAGCTTATGCGATAGTAATGCGTCCGGCATCCGTCCGTCTGTCTGTCTGTCTGTCTGTCCATCTGTCTGTAAACAATTTTTCAAAATGCTACTCCTCCTACAGTTTTGGTCTAATTTCAATATAACTTGGCACACAAGTAGACTACACTAAGATACATAATTCTGTGTATCGGTTTTTGATTTTGAACGGTGTTGCCGTGGTTACTAAAAATAGAAATTTCTGTGAAATTCTTTCAAAATGCTACTCCTCCTACAGTTTTAGTCTGATTTCAGTATAACTTGGCACACAAGTAGACTACACTAAGATGTGTATTGGTTTTTGATTTCGATGAACGGTGTTGCCGTGGTTACTAAAAATAGAAATTTCTGTGAAATTGTTTCAAAATGCTACTCCTCCTACAGTTTTGGTCTGATTTCAGTATAACTTGGCACACAAGTAGAATACACTAAGATACATAATTCTGTGTATCGGTTTTTGATTTCGATGAACGGTGTTGCCGTGGTTACTAAAAATAGAAATTTTTGTGAAAATCTTTCAAATGCTACTCCTCCTACAGTTTTATTTCAGTATAATTTGGCACACAAGTAGAATACACTAAGATACATAAATCTGTATATCGGTTTTTGATTTAGATGAACGGTGTTGCCGTGGTTACTAAAAATATATCTGTAAAATTGTTTCAAAATGCTACTCCTCCTACAGTTTTGGTCTGATTTCAATATAACTTGGCACACAAGTAGAATACACTAAGATACATAATTCTGTATATCAAATTTTAATTTTGATGAACTGTGTTGCCGTGGTTACTAAAAATTTTCTGTGAAATTCTTTCAAAATGCTACTCCTCCTACAGTTTTGGTCTGATTTCAGTATAACTTGGCACACAAGTAGAATACACTAAGATACATAATTCTGTGTAATTTCGATGAACGGTGTTGCCGTGGTTACTAAAAATAGAAATTTTTGTGAAAATCTTTCAAAATGCTACTCCTCCTACAGTTTTGGTCTGATTTCAGTATAATTTGGCACACAAGTAGAATACACTAAGATACATAAATCTGTGTATCGGTTTTTGATTTAGATGAACGGTGTTGCCGTGGTTATAAAAATAGAAATATCTGTAAAATTGTTTCAAAATGCTACTCCTCCTACAGTTTTGGTCTGATTTCAATATAACTTGGCACACAAGTAGAATACACTAAGATACATAATTCTGTATATCAAATTTTAATTTTGATGAACTGTGTTGCCGTGGTTACTAAAAATTGAAATGTCTGTAAAATTGTTTCAAAATGCTACTCCTCCTACAGTTTTGGTCTGATTTTATATATAACTTGGCACACAAGTAGACTACACTAAGAACATAAAGAGACTTTATCATATATATTGCTGTTGTAAAGTTTCAAATCCCAGCTGCTTAAGTACTCTTCTCTTCCTTTGCTATAAGTTCAAACCAGTAGAGCTTCAGTCCTGACAGAGACTTCTGGTTTTTTGTTGTAAATTAAACTCGATACCAGTTATCAGTGTTTTAGTCTCCCTTGACTTACAAACAATTCTATGATTGAGTTAATGTAATTTATTTAAGGAATGTATTCAAGTTTCTCTGTGTATATTTCTACGCATGAGTATTATGTACACGAAAATGGGATTCAAATCAGTTTTACAGTTGGCTTAGTAGAAAAACACAGTGAATGTAGTTATATACTGTAAAATAACATTTTTGTGGGGTCAAATTTTTCATGGTTTAAGAAAAAAATATGGGTTCATTCAGATTTAATTTTGTGGATGAAGAATTGTTGAGTGGTTATACATGTATATGCGAAAAATTACATTTCATGTAGGACATAACTTCACCAGCCTTTTCATACCTCTAAAACCGTGAAAATTAAACCCCATGAAAATTAATGATTTCACAATATACATGCAGTCAAACATGGTCAATCAGGACACTCCTCTTCCTCAGCAGAGTGTCCGGTTTATTGATTCTTCCAGATTAATGAAACATACTTGGTGTTCTTAAATTATGTAGTGTTAATTCCTACAGCTTTTGGCTAAAGGTGACTGGAAGCTGAAATGTTCAGATTATTGGGGTTGTACTGCAGTTTTTAATTAGCAAAGGAAAAGGTTATAAGGACAGAAATTTATTTTCTTATGCACAAGTCAAAGTAATAAAATGAATATAAAGTTTTTTAAGTTTTAGATGTGCATTGATTTTTCTCCCTTAATGATTCTAGCAATGATAAATGCAGCTAGAAGAAGGACTTTATTAATCACTTAAATATTTGATTTGATATAAGATTTATCATTATATGAAATTGAAATAGAGGATGGTTAATATCATCTGTATGTTGATATAATAAAAAAAGAGAATTATTTTTCACCACTTGGGAAATCGGATATACTTAATATAGTCATGCCCAATTGCTTTAAGGAAATACTTCCCCTGTGGAACATTTATAAGCCCTTGTATTAATTTGATAAGTCACAACAGTGAAGTTCTGCATTATAATGGAGTCCTTGGCTTCTATCTCTTCCTCAGTGATTTATCAAAGAAGCCTAAAATCCCCGATGTCAGTCCGATTATTCCATTGATTTGTAGGAAAATACGGAAAAATCTTTGAATGTCTCTTGGCAGGCGATGAATTTTGTCTTTGGCAGTGGATGTAGTGTTTATAATGAATTCATTATGGATCATAGCAAATAATCACATGCATTTTTTTTTGTAACAGTGGGAAAGTATTTGTAATTAGGAGGAAAAAAAATTGGACAGGCTTATTTACTAAGAAAACTGGCATTAATAGACCCTGCTCTAATATAGAGGAATTACAAGTAAAATAACACTGCATGCTTGTAACAGCTTGTGATGGTGTACAAGGATTCTTATTATCACCCCAAAAATGTACAAGAAATGACGCAAGGCCAGAGGAAATGGATTGTTACAAGGACTGCATGTAGAGGACACTATTTCACTTGATTTTAAGTGCTGGGGAATTTCACGCTTCAGTGAGATGTTGTGTTGTAATGTTAAGAGCCATAGGTCGCTCTTTTGATAAGTGTCAATTTACTCCCGAGGACAAGTTTATCAAGTAATGGAGTTTTTATCGTAGTGTGCAGTTATAAGAGCGATTGCCTTAAAATTGACCATTAATACACAGTTTATGGAAGTCAGTGATAATTAGCTTGATAGTGCAGATCAGTGTTTTGGTTCAGTGATTTTTCTACGTTTTCCTTAATTTATGAATGGACTTAATGAGAACTTGGAGTCTAGACATATTTCACACCTTTCTTCCATGAAGATGTCTTCTTCAGACGAAGACAACGTCTTGTCTTCTGCAGCGGCCATTATGATGAGACATGGTCAACGGAAGGACAAATGGTACAAAAGAGTGAGCTCCCACATGAAAGGGGCCTTCCACAGCAAAAAGAAAATGAAAAGGTTCGCAAAATCTGCCGAGAACCTCAGCAGAATAGCCGACAAGTCTCATAAGGGCCATAATGGCAGGAGAGAAAACTTAAGTGGGTCTCTGTTGAGTTTGCCCGGACAGTGTAGAACGGAATGGTCCGACAATGAGTCCAACTCAGATCTGGAGCTCTGGAGAGAGAATGGTAATGGTCAGTGGACGGACGGCGTTACGGAGCACGATTCTGTGTCCCAGGTGGACATCCAGGTGACCCCTGCAAATACAGACGTGAACTCCGATAAAGAGAATTCTCTGGGTGGTGCCGGCCACCACAAAAACCACCGCCACCACCATCATCACCACAGTGGCATCTGCTCTAGTAATTTTCTGTGTGTTCCTCACGAAGACTCTGATGGTTCCGATGTGTCGGACATGGAAACAAGGTCTTGGTCCGGGTCTCTGTTTGACTCGGTGTCAGAATCAAGTGTAGACTCCCTGCTTCAGGTGATTTTCTTAATTTTTATTTTTAAATGAAATGTCTGTTTTAATTTGATTTAATTATTCATACAGCAGCGAAAGTCAAATGATTGATGTCTTATAATACTGACATAGTTTGGCTTTAAGCAATCTGCATGCTTATTTACCACACACAGGTAATATGGCATAACATTTCTGTATTTTGAACCATTGATATGTCTGTGTAACTGTATTAAGAAATATATGAGCAAATAATTAATATTCCTTAATATTTACATGTACTAATGCTTTATGCAATATATTGCTTAATTTTTCTGGAAACAACAGGTTTATTTTGGCACAATTGAAGTACATTGCATACATTTTATACATTTATTACTTACATTATACTTGTTTTTATAAAAGCAGATGTAAAACCGCTGCTGGTTTTCATCAATACTGTTGCACTAACTGCCAGTGACTAGTCGCACTGCAGCTAAATTTCTCACTTAATATACTCCGATTTCATTAGATAAACATTGATCACTGGGTAATCAATGCACTATAAACTTTCATTTTCTCTGGAGGTAAATCTATTGAGTTTCATTGGTTTGTGCAGTGGAAGTTGACAAGGAAGAAAACAAAACCTAAGTTTCCTGTCATTTCTCAAGGAGTTTGATATTTAAGATTATGTATATGATGAAAGGGATTAATGTTGCATAAATTTTTCTGTGACTGTCAAGATTCAGTTACATAGGTGTACTTACTGGGCATTGTAATTCCACAGGAAATGATGAGGATGCTTGTGTAATGATTTTTTAATTCATTGTCTATACTAACAAGTGACTGGACCACACCATCAGATAAAACAGGCTCAACTTGTAATAGCGTTAAACCACTGAATGGTCGCTTGATTGTTGTAGGGGGAGAAATCCAATTGCTCGGTCTCTATCTAAACTTAGATATGCAATATACGCTAAAAGGCCCATAGTCCAGGGAGCATTCACAAAGCTTCCACTTACCAGAGCCAAATAAGTTCAGGTCCAGATGAATAGCTTGATTGACTGGAATATAAAAAGGCTTGAGAATTGACGTCTGCCAAAAGCTCGAAAATTTGCAGACAGTGCTTTTCCGAGTGATGGTAATGGGATATTGCATTGTGTCAAACATTCGGTAAATACAAGGAGTGAGACAGTTTTGGAAATTCCAGAAAATTGACACCTTATTCATGTCGAACTGTTCATTTAGGATGCGTTTTTTTAAAAACTACATTCATTATGTGCTGAAATTGGTTCAATATTGATCAATTATTCATTTGAATTGGATGCACTCATGAATTGTTATTGGAAAGTTATTGTTCTACAATCTACATCTTCCATTAAGACGAGGGAATGAGTTCTGTCGGGATATAAGTATGTGAGAAACTTGTCGAATGTTATGTGAACATAAGTTTGTTTTTAAAATGTGAAGTGGATGATATCCCTTAATTTTTATCATTATGTGCATGGATGCAAGTTTTCCTTAGATATTGATTTCAATGTGTGATAATTGTAATTTTGACGGATGTTAACATTTTTTCCCCCACAAAAATTATAAAAAGCAGTGGATAATTGTCATATCAGTAGTACAAAAGGGAATTCCAATCAATGAAGCTTTAAGGCTGCTAATGTGATAATCATTGGAGACTCATACAAAATTCATTGTGGTACATCATTTTATAAAGCTATGTGTTTTTCATCAGAACTTTTTCCACTGTTTGAAGTACTAGTCAACCCAGTTATAATGTGGTGAAGTAAAATAAATAATAAACTGGATGAGATGTTTTTGATCTGTGGATAATTTTGTTTATGAGTGTTTAATTGTCAAATTTGGACCAGGTGGAAGTATAAATTTGTTTAAAGATGGAGGAAGATGGAACAGGAGAAAATTTACAAGACTCCATGCAGGAGAGGAGTGCAGAATGTTGCGGCTCACCGAAGCAGTCCCCAAAAACAAAGCAGAAGAAAAAAACGAAGAGCTCGGAAGCTCTAGGAAGTGAATCTCCACGGAAAAGGAAGGAGTCCATATTTACAAAACTTGGACACAAACTTCTGCAGTCCCATAGAAAAACCTCCAGTGGTGAAGACCTGGAAGACAATTTGTCAAGGTCAATGGAAAGCTTGCATAAGTTATCAACAGAGGGCGGTAATGATGTTCAAAATGGAGCGCGATCAGCCTCCGAGGCTAGTATATTTTTGGGAAAGAAATCGTCCAATCAAAATTTATCAGCTTTTGAGGTGGAAAATTCTGAGGATGGAGAAGGAAGGGGTAGGTCTTCAAATCAGAGATCACCTATGCTAGGGATGACTGCAGGGGTTAAACGTGTGTCATCTGAAACATCAATTAAAACCCAGGATGTTTCTGCTAGTGGTTGGAAAAACATGGAGGAGGTCATCCCAGTTCTATCACAGGATTCAGAGTTCTTCTTGTTTGACATGAATGAAAGTGTTCAACAGGTACCATGATGAAAAAAGTCAATGACAGGTTTTAGAATATATTTTAGTTTTATTTTCAGCATATTTTCTGATTGATTGATTGATTATTTATTGTTTAACGTCCCTCTCCAGAATATTTCACTGATATGGAGACGTCACCATTGCCGGTGAAGGGCTGCAAATTTAGGCTTATGCTCGGCACTTACGGCCTTTGAGCAGGGAGGGATCTTTATCGTGCCACACCTGCTGTGACACGTGGCCTCGGTTTATACGTTTTTTAGTCGCCTTTTACGACAAGCAAGGGGGTATTTTCTGAAATAAAACTGGTGCACTTCAAAGAACAAGGTTCACTTAGGGTCATTTTTGGCCTTTTGCTCAATTTCTGAAAAATTAAAACTACTCATTTTTAGTTGACAATACATTTAAATTTCACTTGGACCTTATGTGACTGTATAGTAATTAAAAATAACACAATGTTCTTGCCAGTCTAAGTATTGACCTCATTATTAATGCTTTACTCTGTTTATTTCTTCATGTTTTCTCTTCCCCATGGCACCTGATCCCACCTCTGATGTTTTGGAGGTCTGTGTTCACTCCACTCCTATTTTTTTAATGTTTAATGGACTTTTGAGCCTTGAATACCGTTTGTTTTATCCACATATTTCATTTCATTATATTACTTTACCGACCACTGTGAATCTCTGGACCTCTGTATCATACCCGGTAATGGTAATTGCACAACAAGGTTTTAATATTAGGCCTAAAATAAAAATAAGTTTGTTTGCATTGTCTCCACATATCAATTTTTTTATATTTGTAATTTTATTTTTTTTTTCAATTTTTCAGAATATTGAACTGTTTCATTTTCAAATTTTGACTTTTGTTTTTATCAATCAGTGGTTTATAATAAGAGTTAAGCTTATTCAGGTCTATGAAAACATCTTTTATAATTTGTTATTCAACAAAAATTAGATTTTTTTTTTTTCAAAAAAAGAAAAAAGAATGCCTTACCCAGTAAATTTATAGTAACTGCAAACAAAGAATTTTTTAAGCTATTATTTTTGGTGCCTTGTTATCAGTTTTCTATTCTGAAACAAAAATGACTATATATATATTATCTCAATAAAACACTCGTAGTACTATTTCTGGTTCATGGGCTTTTTATTGGCCACATCCTTACACTAAGTGAACAAATGATTGCAGAAGATTTATGAAGTATGTTTAATTTCCAACGTTTGAAAGTAAGATGAAGATCAAGGAAATGAAATGATAAAGTGTATGCTATTTTAAATACTTTTTATATTTTTTCACTTTAAATTCATTTAAAATTTTAAGTGATCTTAATGATGTTATTTATTTAAAAATCTTTTTTAAAAAATCGTTTTTCTGGATGCTGACTCTCCGGACCAACTTGCTAAAATTGTGCAGATTCAAAACTTTTTTTTGTTTTTTTATTCCTGATTTTTTTCATGTCATCAACACTTGTATTAAAACTTTCTGGAAATTTTTTTTCCAAACCTACCTACTGATCCCAATTTTTTACCCTGAGTTTGTAATCCCTGTTGAGATTCTGCTAGGCTAGATATTTGGACTGACGCCGACGCAGAATCCCTGGATGACTACTAATAATTCATGTCTGGAGATTAAGTCCCCACTTCGGTCGACTATAGCAAGAATTATTCACCTTGATCACACTGCCGTTCGCTTCAATTAAGTCATTTAGTTGTTTATTTGACTCTCTGTCACTATTATTTCTACATAGCTTACTGTTTAGGCATGTAAATCCCAACATAAAAATATTCACTGAAATCTCAGTTCAAAATATGGCTCCCGTCACGAAATTGTTTACCTATAGTCTGTTTTTACCCTATGTGATGTTCAATAGTCACATTATACTTGGTTCAGAATCACATACGGTAAAAACAGACTATAGGAACTCTTTTATTCGAGGAGGTAAACAATTTCGTCATATTTTTGAGATTTCAGTGAATATTTTTATGTTGGGATTTACATGCCTAAACGGTAAGCTATGTAGTAATAATAGTGACAGAGAGTCAAATAAACAGCTAAATGACTTAATTGAAGCGAACGGCAGTGTGATCAAGGTGAATAATTCTTGCTATAGTCGACCGAAGTGGGGACTTAATCTCCAGACATGAATTATTAGTAGTCGTCCAGGGATTCTGCAACGGCGTCAGTCCAAATATCTAGCCTAGCAGAATCTCAACAGGGATTACCTGAGTTTGATGAAGACAAACATTACCTGTATTTAAAGATGGCCTTTATAATTTACTTATTTTAATGGGTGAATATCCAAAGGGATGGAATTTAAATGTGAAGGAGGCATAGATTCACCTCATTGAAGTTTGGAGAGGTGGGGGAAGCTTATGTGTAATACCCTTAGGGTGAAGATTTTTAAGCAAATGCATCTAAATTGATCCTATATCATGTATATTGATTAGTGATTCATGGAAGATGCATCAATATGTTTCACAGTGTACCAGCATTGTCCTGCAATGCGTAGATTTCTTCTCTTATTGTTTTTAAACATCTTATAATAAATTTGAGGAGGATAAAATTAGCAGCAAAAAATAAGTATTCTGAGAGTAAAAATTTTATCATTGCAGGACTCCAATATCAGACAGCGAAGACATGAGTTAATGCAGCATTCATTCTTTCATTTGGAGGTTTGGCTCAAGGAAGGAAAAGATCTGGTAGTCCGAGATAGTAGTGGTACGTGTTTATCTCGCAGATTTTATAAAAAGATCTGATAGTCCAAGATAGTAGTGGTACATGTTTATCTCGCAGATTTTATAAAAAGAGCTGGTAGTCTGAGATAGTAGTGGTACATGTTTATCTCGCAGATTTTATAAAAAGAGCTGGTAGTCTGAGATAGTAGTGATACGTGTTTATCTCGCAGATTTTATAAAAAGATCTGGTAGTCCAAGATAGTAGTGGTGCCTGTTTATCTCGCAGATTTTATAAAAAGATCTGATAGTCCAAGATAGTAGTGATACATGTTTATCTCGCAGATTTTATAAAAAGATCTGATAGTCCAAGATAGTAGTGGTGCATGTTTATCTCGCAGATTTTATATTAAAAAGATCTGGTAGTCCAAGATAGTAGTGGTACATGTTTATCTCGCAGATTTTATAAAAAGATCTGATAGTACAAGATAGTAGTGGTATGTGTTTATCTCGCAGATTTTATAAAACAAATGATAGGTACCCAGAGTTCTTGAAATCTTTCGGTCCTGTCGGCAAAACCGATTGAAACAACCAAGGACCGATTACTTTCCGTTCTGTGTCAGTCCAAATGACCGGACGGTGTTGACAGAGAACTTGCGAAAATCCGACTAAATTTCGTACAAATTCCCTATTATCGATCGATCGTTATCTTTCAAACTCTTTTTCTGCATGTTGTAATGGCTTCTTGATTAATACAAGTGCAAATTTAGAGACAATGTTCTATCGTTAAAATGATAAATGTCCTACGGACCCGGTTTAATAATAGAATTTGTTCCTTATATTCACTATGTCACAAAATAAACACCGGCAATGACTCGAACTCAGTACATTTACTACGAAGATTCCAGAGAGTTCCGAATGCAAACATGGCGTGTAAGAAGCGAGAAAAAAACGTTAAGAAAATTAGTTGAATTATCGTCTTTATTTGGATCATAATTTAGGTTTAAGGACATACGCGACCTAAATAATAGGTTTGTTGTAATTAATTTTGAAGTTATTTCCAGTGCATATCCTTTCCTATACTTCAAATTCGTTTCGGAGCAATTCTATAACTATTTGCTACATTGCGAGTATAACTGTTATGAGCTACTGACTTGTTCCGAGACACAGAATATTCTAACTTGCGCCAAACTATTGGTTAACTGTTAAAACAAGTTTCTTGACGGTGCTAGGGTAAGAAGTATGCAGTGTTCATATAGACGCTGTGTTTATTGATAATAAAATTTAAATACAATTTTTTTTTCATGTTTTTATTGAATTTATTTTGGACTGATAGAATTCTGTCTGGACTGACAAACTTCACATGGCAGTCGGTCCAAATGACTGACAGCGAAAAAAAGATTTCAAGAACTCTGGGTACCTGTCCTAAATAAAATGAATTTTATCTGACAGGGTATCTTTGTACAATACAGTCAAACCTTGTTTCCTCAAACTTGAAGGGACAAGGAAAAACTTTGAGGTAACTGAGGATTCAAGATATCAAGGGTAAAAATACTTGAGGAAAAAAGTATATAGTGGGGACATCAAAATGACTACCACATATCCATTGTATTCCATGTTTGAGATACTGAATTTGAACTGTATTTCTGTGTAGCAGTCAGAAAGGGCTAAATTGTTTAGATTATTCAAGGTCGGGTGAACTTTGACATGCATGTAGCAGTGTCACAAGTTCAAGTTAATCCCTGAAGTCCGGGTTGATATGTTTAGAAACATTTAAGGAATGACTCTAATTCTTGGCCAGATTATCGAGTATAATATGGTTTGGGTCAGTTTACGCTTTATAATCCGCGAAGCGGATTATAAAAGCGGATTATAAAAAAGCGTAAACTGACCCAAACCATATTATACTCGATAATCTCGCCAAGAATTAGAGTCATTACTTATAATTTAATTTTAAAATAATTAAACAACTGGGGATGTAAAATTGTGTTGTTTTTATTAACCGTAGTAACGGAAGTGATGGGAAGCAAGGGGAGGTAAAATCTGATACATAGATCTAGCAGCCATGATGCTTGTTTACATGAGGTAAGATCGAGCAACTGTTTGAAGTTAAAGGTACATTCATTAAATCCTGAATTTTTCATGAATCCGAAGGACTGGAAATGAGGGGATTGATGGATACAGATGATTCAGCTGGTTGTCAAGGGGGTGTGTCCCCATACCAAACCAGATTATACAAAATGTTATGCGTTCCTTTTTGGAAATCAACCAATGAGAGACAAGAATACAAACAGAATTAAATTATAGTAGAATAGAAAATACAGCAAAAACTGTCCAATCTGACACCTGAATAATCTGATACACTGTGAATTCTGATGTTCCCATTTTACATGATTGTACAATTTTTCATCTTTTTGACACTGTGCAATTCGACACCCTGTCTATTTTGACAAAAAAATTGTCTCTGAATTGACAGGAGAAAAAGCTTGACAAGGTTATGAGATTCTGTTTTGAATTGAGTGGGAACAAATTTTTCTGCAAAATATAATTTAGAATTTCATTAGAAGTAATTGAAAAGAATGTTACAATATATGATTCTGCTACTAGGTGATAATCATTGAAATAATGTCTTTTTCATTAATATATTGAATTTTAAAATTTTTTAAAAAAGATTCCCTCATTAAAATACTAAGAGTGTAATCACAAGAGATGAAGTGGTCACAATTGCTTTAAGAGGGTTTTAAGCCCAGGGTCTTGAAATCGGAAACTGTAAACAAAGTATGCATGGCTATTCTGTATTGCTTTACAAGCTGTTCTGCTGTTGTTTCTTATATATATATATATATATATATATATATATATATATATATATATATATATATCTTCGTATTTTGTTTTTTAGGTACCAGTGATCCATATGTGAAGTTCAAAATAGGTAGCAAACATTATTATAAAAGTAGAACTGTGTTCAAAAACTTGAATCCAAAATGGGATGAAAAGTTTACGATTCCTATTGAAGATGTGTTTAAACCAGTGTGTGTGAAATGTTACGATTACGATCGAGGAGTGTCCGACGATCGCATGGGATCTGCAGAATTAGACCTCTCAACGCTTGAATTAAATACGTAAGTAACGTCTTCTTTTTTTGTGTAAAGCTGTAGATTTTTAAAATCATAAGTTGAGACTTACAAAATTATAAGGAGCTAGGTCAAAAACTTTGTCCTAAATGCTTTGTCATTGAGACAGAAATTAAGCCATATTTTGTCTGTGGATCTTTCTGTCAGAATGTCGCTCTATAAATGATATTTGTTATTGAGAAATATTAACGATAAACTCCATATTCAAGGAATTATTTAATGTCTGTTAGCAAAGTATTTTGCATATTATGGCTGTTTTGGGAGTGAATGTGACTGCATAATGAAAAAGGATGTCATGGTTTCTGACAAGCATATTGGAACAAGTTGATAAACAGAGGATAATGAAATAACAAATAGTGACTTTTCTAGAGAATTGGATATCTTGTTTGAGAGGAAGGGGGAATATTTTGTGACTGTTCAATGTCAGAAATGAATTGCAAACATTATCAATGGCTTCGGAAATAAGTTTTGAGGGAAATACCTCTCGAAATTCTGGGAAAAAATTACGATGATGAATATTTCATCTGAGGGACCAGAGATGCTGGCGAGATAAAAATATTCATGACAGTGTCGTATCCATAAGATGTAGAGGGACTGTGTAGATTGACTATAGATTTACAAAATAAATTAATTGTAATATGGTGACCGTATTAGTGGAAATTTTAGCGAGATGCAAATTAAGTGATTGGTTCTTAAAAATGGTATTTAATTTTTTGCGAGAAAAATTAGTGATATTTAAAATCATCACACAAGAAGCTATTGCAAATAAAATGCGATTTAACCCTCACTAATAATGCCAATATTAAATCCTTGCGAAAAATTCTGCTATAGCCAGGCAAGTTTGTATGAAATGTGTGTATTATGTAGAAGTTTGTATGGCCATATAAATGATTTCGTGTATATCACGATTATGTATTTTATATGAAAAGTCATAATTTTTCTGAAAAAAAAAATATGCTAGAAAAGCAAAATTTTACTTTCTTGAAATTTTTATGTATACTATATAAAATCAATTATATTTGGACGATAAGATGCCGTTCTTTTCACTTTTTACAGCATTTTTTATACTTTCTGTAATTGTAATTTGAAAGATTGAACACATAAATGAATAATTTCTGGACTTTATAGTATGTACCTAAAAACCGGTATTTAGGTCTCCGTATCACGATACGTATCACACAACAAAAAATCGCGATAAACCGATATACCCATTAAATCGCACATCCCCTAATGATTTCAATCATTACCTGTACATGTAATTAAAATATTGATTCTCAAAGGAAAAATGGAATTAATTGATTTTATTACACATATGGCTGCATTTAATCAAAACAATAGAAAGATTACTGTTTTCAGAAATGAAAAGATTTTACAGCTCAAAATTCTCTTTGTATAATATGGTCTTCTTTTAAAATTGTTCAAGGGAATATAACAATGTTTTTGATCACACATCTATCAAATCTATAATAGTCAATCTTTCCATAAGTAGAATGAAGAGAATGCCCAGTAATTAAATGAAAATTTAAAACATGTAACATCCTGTTCTTGTATCAAGTTATTTTCCTTAAATTGAAGGGAGGAAAAAGTCAATTTATAAACAGCAGATTGATAGACTCTCCATATGTTCTATCTATTTCCATAGTTTAAATATTATTACATTGTTTTTACAGTCCCACAGAACTGAAGCTAGAGCTGAAAGAAAAGAAAGATGAGGGATATATGGGATACATTCTGTTACAGTGTACCCTAATACCCAAGTCCAGTGAAGAAAAGGAGGTAGGTTAAAGCAGTACAAGGATAGAGAGGTTCTACTGTAAAATTACAAATTACTGATTCTTTTTTCCGATTTTTTTTTTGATTTTGCGACTAAAAATGAAAACACACTCGCATTTTCACGACTGAGAAAATTTGGGCTGGAAACGTCAATTTTTAAGATATTTCATTTGTAAAGATTCTCTTTCAAGAAAATGTTTGAAGACATGTGTTTAAATACACTTTACAACGCATCGGATGGACTTAGATCACGTAATGTTATGGCAGCATGATGTACAAAGTTTGATAGAACCAAAGACGTGTATAAATAATGTTCCTGATAGGGCATTTGGTTTTCTAAGATCAGACCTTGTTATTGAAGCATTTGGTCAATTGCTTGCATATCACAATGAATCATGCTAATAAAGAGTCATTTATAATGACTGTGTAATGGGTTAGGTACGTAGTAGTAAGTAAACATGACAAACAGCAGGCAAAGTCCTGTCTCAACAGCTGTCAAGCTTGTACTTACATTTGATAAATTTTTATTTCTGTAATCAGATTACCTGTGTTCTTCTGTACAACCATAAGGGTACATGTATTAAATAAAAATATTTCATTCAACCTAGCAAATTTTAATAGTCACAGTAATAAGTAATGTTTTATTATAATAAAGACATAATTCATATCCTTATTCAAATTATCAAGTTTTATTCACAAAATGTATTATTTTATGGTGAGTGAAATATTTGATTATGGCGACCAGAAATTCTGAAATGGCAACAAAAAAAATTTTTAGGTCGCCATTTTGCGACCTAAGAGCAAGTGTGACTTGGAGCACTGGGGGTGGGGGTGGGGGGGGGGGGTAGTTTCATGGTTTGAGGAAAAGTTACTTGTTTGTGTGGATTTGGTTTTGTGGTTGAAGAGATGTGCCATTATAAAGTCTTTATCGATTTGATTGTTAGCAAAACATAATTCATTTTATTTAAAAAGTTCATTATTTCAAAACAACAGGAAATGAATATCATATATGTTTGAAATAACCCATTCTAATGTAGACAAAAATTAAACATGTACTGGTACTATTGTTAGAAATTTCCTGAAGGAAATTTTTTGTAGATCTTTTCAAACAAACAAAAAAAAATCAACAAAAAAGTCATTTCACAGTAATTTGCAGGCAGGAAAAACAAAAAAATGGTCAAATTTTGGGTCACCCTTCATTGATTTCAGAGGAGAGTGCCAGATCCAATATGGATGTAAAGCAACTCATTGAATGGATTCATTCATTTTTCTGCTGGTGAAAGAAAGATGGTCTTAATTGAGTTCAATGTCTTAGTCTTAGATTAGATATGTCTGTGACATATACTAGGAGATTGGTTGGGAGTGATTTAGTTCAGAAATGGAGGTCTCTGCCTTGTTCATTAATTACGAGATACAGTTCATTGTACTGTGAAATCACTTATTTTGATGGGGGTGGGAGGGGTGGGGGTGGGGTGAATTTTCGTTGTTTTCGAGGTAAAGAGAGACCCACAAATCTGTGACCACCATGAAATGTAAACTTTCATTTGCATTACTACTAAACATTTTCCAACCACGAAATCAAATGCCCCACAAACCAAATGAATATTTTTTTCTTTAATCCTCAAAAATTTGACCCCACAAAAATATGTGATTTTACAGTATACAGTTTTAAATTAGTCGTTTATTCAGATGAGATTATAAATATTGGGTAGTCTTTCGGTTTAACTGAAAAGGAGAAAATTTGACTGGCCAGAAGGCATCTGACCCCCTTTATGTTAAAAAAAAATCTTAGAGAGTTCTTTTTTTAGGGAAATGGTTGATTTTTGACATTTGAAATCTGACTTTTTGAGCTCTTGGGCTTGGTTAAAATGTTTTCATTTCATCACTAAAAAAAAATGAAATTTACCAGAACTCCAGTTCAGTAAACATTAAGCTACAATTCACAGACAATAAATGCAATTTTGATGCCACAGGGAATAGTTTGAAAGTTTTCAGGAATTTGTCCAGCCAGCACGTAGTAAACTATTCATTTGCTTTTTGTTATCATTTCCTGCATTGCCATGGCATCAAAGCTAGTGATCTATTGTCACTTTTTAGGGTTTTGTAATTAAAATCTTGCGTTCCTGATTCAGACATTTACATAAAGATTCAATAAACAGGAAAAAAACCTGAAATGAGAAAGAGAGATTGCTTAATTCAGATACATAGTGACAAGATCCAGCCTTCCAGGGATATGTGGTCGATAAAACCTGATCAGATAGCTCTTAGGTCAGCTTTGTTTTTTCACAAGGGATGTCTTGATGTTTCAAAGTAAACTGTTTTACATTCCTAGCAAATTGAAGTCTGAGGGGTATACTGTAAACATACTACATTTTGCTGTGAATCCTTTTTAGTGCCTTTGGCAGAAAGCAATTTCTGCTAATTCAGACATAATAATGCTGAATGTCTTGCACAAATATGCATATGTGCTAAATCAAATCTTCACCAGCCTAACTTGTTCAAAAATCATTTAATGTCAAATATGGTACAGGCTTAACCCCCATCCCCGCAATCACGCATTTTAACGCATTACCGTTGCCCCGCAATCAAAACGCATATACCTTTGCCCCGCAATCACGCACTTTAACGCAAATTTCGTTTTTGACGTTTTTTTGCTCTGATTACGCGTAAAGTTTTGATGGTGTGATAATAAATGATTAGAAAATAAATTTTATTATTCCATACTTATATATTTCGCAAATAGTATTATTTTTCCTCAATTTAATATGTCCACAACCCCCACTCCCTCACCATTCACTGGTGTGGTGATGTGGAATGGAAGTCACTCACTCTTGTGTGAGATAAGACATTTAATCGTTACATGTAAGTGTTTGATAAACACATGCTACACAGCAATAAAAAAAATACACATACACAAATAAAAAGGAACAGAATAAAGGAACGACAATATCATGTTGAAAAAGAGGTTGATTTAAATTTGAATGATTTCATTATCAAGTCAGCGTTTCCGATATTGTTAAATAAAGTGTTGCACTTACTCGATCGTGTGTCTTGATTTCTAAAAATATACGTATGTACATGTATACATAAAATAAGGTATTCGGTTTTACTCGGATATTTTTTTAAAAGGCAGAACAAACAAGAAGTCTGTGAGCCAATGTTCACCAATAATGACCCATGCACTCTGATGTGAATTTACACACGTTCAGTTAAAGTGCAAATAAATATGAAATTAACAAGTAAATTACTATATGACATGTCTCAAAAAAGATTGTGCTAAAATTTTAAGAATCTCTTAGTTGCTTAGAAAAATATAAAAATTTGTTCCAGTATGCACTGATAGGAAGTTGACATCGGATTTGATCAAAAACGAAAATGTATTTCTTTTGTAATAATGCTGCGTATTGCTGAGCACTGCTACCAAAAACTTTGTTACGGACAGATACACAGCTAGAAAGACGGAAAAACACACACATTTTTTAAAATTCAATGATTATTTTATCAGATATATACACAAGATATAAAATCATAAGTATGTTTCACAGTGTTACTTTTTTTTAACTTTCGTTGGCATCAATTTTTGTGGAATCTGCTCCGTAATTGTAATGTAACTCAAATTTGTCAATGTACATTGAAATTTGACGACAAGGAAATCCTTGAAACTTGGTGGTCAACGGAAATTGATGAAACGACAATATACTCTGAAGGTTCATGTATGTCAACACTGCATACCCTAAAAATAATAAGTTTTGAAAAATCTTAATTGGCCTAAACAGAGCGGAATTGGTCTGATTGGATTTTTCTACCAGCTAAATTTTTTTATGTTATACACAAAAAATACTTTTGGTATCCACATGTGTATCAGTTAACTAGATTTTATAATATTACGGGACGGTATTTTGTAGTTTGTTGCAACAATGGCCATCGGTTTAATTAAAGCCTTTGCCTACAACCAGTTGTAATCAAACACAGCCATATCGATAATCGCACATGTAATATCATCCGCACACATGATCTTTCAAATTTAACATCCATGTTTTTTAGAATTTACAGCTTCTGCCGAGAATTGACAAAAATATCTAATTTATTTAAACCTAATGGATTTAAAACGATGTTCAGTGAAAACAAATAATTAAAGCCAAACAAGAAATAAGGGTAGAAGACAGCCGAAGGTGAGAAAACCCTTGTCAGGTATATATTGCCCCAAGTGCTTGGTCACGATAATTACTGTATAATCACTGCCACAGGTGATAACGGTCATTTAGAGTCGTAGTAAACCCTAATTACTGTATGTACAAGTGCAATGAGCATTTTACGTTTTAAAAGAGATTGTTTAATGCATAATGAGTAAGCTTAGAAATATTCAAAAATATACATACTTGAATTCGAGTAACCGATATATACCGATTTTAGCATATTTTTCGATACTGCGGACGTCATCAAAAAGTAACAAAGGTAATGCTATTATTACGTCACAGACGTTAAGGGTTAATGTCATGAAACTTTACCATAGTAAAAATCTTATCCAGTCTCCTTGTTCATTTCCGTCAATCCCTCCACATCCCTATTATGTATATATACTTTATTTACAATATAAGATGTGCTTGTGTTTTGTGTTTTACAGTTTTTACTTAGTAATGAGATTTCACAAGATGTGAGTAAATGGTGAAAATGTTTTAAAGAACTTAGTAAAGAGAGAACCTTGATATTTAACAAGAGTTTAGTTTTGACACTAACAGCCCTTCATACTTACAATATTTTTCATATAGTTAGATACATCTCATGAGAGCACAAGTTGTCATTAATATTTTTCCTATTTCTAAACACATTCTGGAGTTATAATCATGATAATTGGTAAAAAATTGTATATATTTAATTATATTAATGTTTTATTCTTTTGATATGTTTGAGAGATACACAAAAATATGCATATATATATTTAGACTATATCTTTTAAATTTTTTGTAAACTGTATGATTCTTTTCAATGAATTAAATAAATCTTTCTAAGTTTCAATATTAAATGTTGATGATTAAGGGGAAAATAGATCCAAACATAGAATTCAAGTTATAATTAAAGGTTTAGAATTAAAAAAAAAAGAAGGAAAGAAACAGAGAAATTCGATCAGTATAGAATGAAAGAAGAAAGAATATATTGAACATGTTAACCGATATCATTCATATTTATATTCTATAATTTCCAGACAATCATAGTTTTCTCTGGAGAAGATCATTTAAATCATCTCAGCAAACAGTGATAATGATTTTTTTGCTAGACATCATATTATTATTTCGACAGCAATTTCATCAGTTTAAAGGATCAACGTTACGCAAATCACCCGGCACTCTCGAATCTCAGGCACGGAAACTGAAGATGCAGATCTGGAGTGGAATCGTGAATATCGTTTTAGTGGAGGGACACAATCTCATGGCCATGGACGACAACGGTTTGAGTGACCCCTACGTCAAGTTCAGGCTGGGTCAGGAGAAATACAAGAGTAAAGTATGTCCTTTTTCATTGGTGGTTTTTTTATATTTTGGTTAGCCAATCAAATGCTTTTGCACTTTAACGTTCACCAATAATGTAAAAAAAGGAATGGTATTTGACAATAAAATGAATTTTTTGGATGATTTTATGATCAGAAAATTTGGCTTAATTTCAAGGATCTATAAAATTCTTTTAAGCATCCCAGCTAGTGCAATATTTCAAAATTTGTTCACCCTTTAAACGATCAGAAGTCTAAATTTCCTTTATGAAATAAAATTACTTCACTTTGTTATTCATGTAATTTAAAATGAAATTACTTTTTCTTTACTTGATCAGTTTTGTTTCTATTTAGATTCAATATGAATTATTTCTCATTTTAGCACAAATTAAAGACCCTGAACCCGAGGTGGTTAGAACAGTTCAGTCTGCGAATCTTCGACGACCAGAGTAAGACTTTGGAGATCAGTGTGTACGATCACGACCTACGATCTGATGATTTTATGGGCAGGTTTGTATTTATTTCTCTCCTGATTCAAACGTTTCTGCACCTGGGCAATTTTTCTGTTAATTAATTCTAGAGACTAAATCAATGAAATAATAAATTAGAAAGGTGGGGATGGTTCACCTGTTAAAAAAAGAGTTTTATATGACATATGTGATTTGATCAACAGCACCACAATCTAAATGAATCCTTTTCATTCAGAAGAGTTGCTTTCTGTTTTGTAAATTCATTTAAGAAAAAATTCTTTAACTCTTTTGCTGATAAAATTTTTTAGGAGTTAGCGTGAAAAATAGTGATGTATTGTTGTGTTTAATTAAACTTTCTGAAATAATGACTACTATTTTGTCTAGACCAAATAATGGAAATGAAGACTGTTTAATGGATTCTTTGTAGTGACAAGAAAAGCCATCCTGTCTAATTTATCAGGATTCTATCTCCTAATTATAAATGACGCCTTCTCTTTTCTTCTTCTTCAGAGCAACAATTGATCTGTCTGAAATAGAGAAAGAAAAGACGCACACAATCGTTAAGGAGCTGGAAGATGGAGCGGGCACGATCAAACTTTTATTGACCATCAGCGGGACACAGGGTGCGGAAACGATCACCGATCTCGTCAATTACACGACCAACACGAAAGAGAGGGACGATTTGTACCGGAGTTATGTGAGTGACGTAATAATGCATATAATTTCCCTTTACTGCACACTCTGCAATCATATCAAACCATGCAGAAGCAAGAAACTTAATAGTGATTGATTTTTCTGTTTAAGAAAATAACACTATTCAGCAAATGAAACGGAAGAATTGCATCTGAAATTTTAAAAAAAGTGATTTCAATAAATCTTTGACTGTTACAGGAAGTTATAGTCAGAGTTCTAAAAAAAAAAATAAGAAGATTTTAATTGACCTGGATGCTAGAGTTTTAAGCCAGCGCTAGATCTAATAGTCTTAAAGTAGTAGTTGTCCAATATTTGAATGCCAATAATTTTTAAAAGACTACAAACATATTTGGTATATAATGATATCATGAGTTTGGCAAGAAAGCAATGTTTTATTGATTGCTTCTAACAAAATTGTTTTTATTGATAAATAGATTTTTTTTTTGTTTTTGGTTTGCATGAAAACCTCAAGTGTTTGTTAAACTGTCAGGAAATGTTCTGTAAAACATAAGTATTTTTTGAAATGATAATTGAAATGATATTGATGTAACACCCCCCTCCCCAAAAAAAGGTTGGAGAACAAATTTGTTTTCCATTAACAGAAAAATTATGCTTTATAAATTTTTGGAAATTTCCTTTATCCAAACCAGTAATTTGCAACTTGACTTACTTCACTCTTTATGCCAATAAAATTCAATCATTACTCTGCTTTTGTGTTGATTCTGTGATTAACATTGTATCACTGTTGTTTCAGGGAATCTTCAACTCCTCTAAGAACCTGAAGGATATTGGGTGGCTACAAGTGAAAGGTAAATATCAGAAAATATCACCTCTGTCCTGTTGTCTTGCTATAAGTGAAGCCAGTCGATGGATTGGTTATTATTCTTGATATCTATAATGCATTCAATATTTGCAGACAGAAAATCTATCCATTAATTAAATTGGATATTCTCCTTTTCTAGTGTTTATTTTTTATATGAAAATGTATTAACCAAATTGATTTTGGTTTCTATGAAAATTTGTCTAGAGTGACAGTTTCACTGAAAAAAATATATTAATACAATCGTGTTTTTAAACCTAATTCATCCGTAAAACATGTTTAATTAACTGGTTTACAGGGTACCTCTTGAAAAAACATGAATATTGTGATATATGCTAAACAAATAATTGTCAGAAAATGTTTCAGAAAACTTAATGATATTTGTGTTTTTGGTTTCAGTGATCAAGGCTCAGGGTCTAATGGCAGCTGATATCGGGGGTAAGAGTGACCCATTCTGTGTCCTAGAGCTGGTCAATGCTCGTCTTCAGACCCAGACAGAATACAAGACCCTCAACCCAGAGTGGAACAAGGTCTTCACATTGTAAGAGCTGATGAAAAGATTTAGAATCATTATATAAGCCTTAAATCTGTACAATAGTGAGTAGTGTTCCTTATAATCAAATTTTTAATCAGATTTTTGCAAAGTGCTCCATAGTTTAATGGGATAATTTTGATTTCGAGGTCTCACTGAAATACGATTTGTGGTAAATGTTTTTTTTTCTGCAATTAATACTCATATTTCAGGGAGGTTATTTTTTATTGTGTAACACATTGTAGACCAATCGAAATAGTTCTGTATTTTTTCTTTCAGTAATGTGAAGGACATCCATTCCGTGTTGGAGGTTACAGTGTATGATGAGGACAGAGACAAGAAAGCGGAATTTCTCGGCAAAATCGCCGTGCCTATTCTTCAGGTACAGATTGTTGTCCATTTTCTTTGGAAGAATCTTAATGATTTTTTTTTTTTAACATGTAGCATTAAAAATAGTACAGTTTTCAATAACTCTGAACTTTGACTATTTCCTGTCAATGACAGAATGCTAATGAAGCTGCTGAATTATTTTAAAATTTGATATTAAAAAAAAAAAAAAAAAATTATGATACTGTACATATATGTACAGTCGAATTTTGGTTTCTCAAAAACCAATATCCTGAATGACTGTATAAAATTATATATGTGTTTATTTATCTAACAAATCATTATTTTTACAGATGAAGAGAGGTATAAGACGATGGTATGCCTTGAAGGACAAGAAATTACTGGGCAGATCAAAAGGAGCCATTTTATTAGAGATGGATTTCATCTACAATCCGGTAATTTCTAGAATCTGTAAAGTTCTTTCCGAAATAACAGATATTATTAAGATACAACCAATAGCATGTTAATTTTGCGTGCAATCTGGAAGAAATGAATTATCTAACGAGCTGTGTTGGTTTCCCGTAATCTAGTAATGACATTTGCATGATTTTATGCATTATCTCTGATTTACTTCTTTAGGTATTGGATTTTCTTGTATAATCTTTGGGAAAATATTGATTTTCTTTTTCGGTTTTCAAGGTGAAAGCTGCTGTCCGAACAGTCAATCCCAGGGAAGAGAAATACATGCAACCAGAGCCGAAGTTCAAAATTGCGGTACGTTAATCCAGATCTCATGAGTGTTTGAATTTTTGTTCAGCATTGTTTACTGCATTGCACTGACACAAATATTGAATGAAACGATTGATTTATGATTAAATTAGATGTGAAAAAAAAGAAACGCCACAAAATGAAATATTTTTGTGGCAGTTCCTGATTCATATCATTGCTCATTTTTTGTGACAAGAGGCAGCCTTATAATCCACTGTCAGGCAATAATATTCCCATTGGAGAGTTGATATCTCTATGATATATAAAGATATTTAAATGAAATCACCCCATACATCATCAAGTATTGACAATATGTGGACCCATGGAATGGCATCTGAAATTTAGGCCATCATTAAAAAATTGTTTGTTTGGAATTGCCGCCTGAAGGGTCTCAGACACAGGAGGGAGGGAGGGAAATTATTTTTTTTTTAATTGAAAACCTAATTTTACATAGATCTGACTCTTTATTTCAGTGTTTTGTATGGTGCATGTGATACATGTAATGGGCAAAAAAAATTGATTTAATTAAAAAAAAATCTTCCTACTTTTGGTCAATAAAATTTTTTCAGGAGGGGGCATTTCAATGAGGCGGGAGGCAATTCCAAACAAACTATAATTTTATTTTGGCCTTATCCTCATTCCTTTGGGTCCTAGAATTAGAGTATCTGAAATTTGACCTGGTTTTGTTTTTCCATATTTACAGCTGATGAAAAGGAATATCAACAGAGTTTCGCAAATCATTTCATCTATCATGGAGGTCGGTAGATTCCTGCAGAGCTGTTTCGAATGGGAATCCAAGGCCCGGAGCATTACTGCCTTCACAGTTAGTATTTATACAGAGACCACATTAAACATTACTTTTACTACACTTCAGGTCGATATGTGTAGAAGTAAATCTATCTGCACTGTTTTATAAAGAGCATACAAGCATATTATAGCCAGTTCACTGTATTTCAAGTACCAGTAAAAATTCAATCAGGAAAAAAATAAAAATATTTAACATAAATAATAGCTGTAATATTAGTACATGTATGATGACATATATTTTTACTTACTGTTTATTTGACAACAGGTATTCCTTATCATTACCTGGTTTTTCGAGCCCTACATGTTACCTGTGACGTTACTCATACTCTTCCTAAAGAATTATCTCATCAAATCCGCTAAAGAGGCCTTCTCTGTGGAGAACAAAGAGGAAGTGGTAAGTTGTGTGTGATTGTTAATTTATTCAATGCAGAAAGGAAGTCGATTATTGTTGATAATTTTAATTTGACACTCTGTGTGATATTTTTCTCAAAGCTGTAAACCAAGTATTTTTCTCGACAACATATATGTGTGATTTTTTAAAATTTTTTTTTGTTTGAAATCCATCCAAGGCTATTAATTTCTGTGTCTAAGAAAACATTCTATTTAATTAAACACGAAATTGAATTAATGGTTCAGGGTATTAAAATTTGAGGCAAAAGAAGTTGCAAAACTCTCTGACAGATAGACTGTATTTCTTGTATGCAAATAATAGTTGTATACTGTATCAAATAAAATTTTATGAGTTCTTTAATGGACATGACCTAATTAACAGGTAAATATAATCTAATTAACAGGTAAATGTAGATGAAGAGGACGATGATGATGAAGATGAGGCTTCTAAGGTAATTACAAAATTAAAAGATATTGTTATAGTATTGGGATATTAAAATATTTATTACAGTGAAATGTATGGAGATAACGAACAGTATTCAAGCTCAATTTACCAAAAAAATACAAATCAGAAGCATCAAAAACATGAACCTCTTAAACTTCAGAGGTGGGATCATGTGCCATGGAGGAGAAATCATCCCTTGCTGAGCAAAACAAAATACAAATCAGATTTCCATTTCTCTAAATTGTCATGAAAATCTTGGTGTAGGTTCTGTACTAAAATTTCTTGTTGGAGCTCAAATGTAAGCTCAAATGGCAAATGAATGTGATTAAAATACAGTCTTAACAATTATGCATGTAAGCATGTTTGATTGATGTAGGTGTAATACTGCATGTATATTGTGATGGATGTTTTAATCATAATCATATTTTATGCAAAGCAAAAAAAGGTATGATTTTTATGTACTTTACAATTTTTTTTTAACAATTTTATTTTTCAATATAAAATAATCCTGAATCTGTTTCTCTCACAAAATACTGTACACATTTTTTTTGTATTTTTTTTCTCCGATTTACTACCTGCACCCTGACTTTAGTCCTGTTTCCCCGTCAGAACCTTTAACTTGCCACTGTTAGATATCTGATCTTTGACTATAATTCCTGTAATTTTACTAACTTTGATTGATTTTAAAGGGAAAAAATTGCCATAACAAAATTAGATTTTAGGGGTATATAGGTTGGTATTCAACATCAAGTTCTTTTGAAGTCTAAATTTTCTAAAATCCATTTGGTTTTGAGATACTTAGATGCATTACAATCCACTACACTGTATAATTATTTAATTTTTTTTTTTTATTTCTTCAGTGACAATTAATCCTCTTTTGTTGACAATAGCTTTGCACATTTTTTTTAACCACGAACTTAAAGCAGAAATAGGGTAGTTTTGATACCTTTGAATGTCTTTTTATCCTGCATTAATTATCCTACATGTATTAAGACAATGCCTTGTAGGAGGAATATGTATACTGAAATAATGAAGTGAATGATTTATTGATTTAGAAACACCGGAAAACATTTAGAAATATTATTAGAGTGATAAAGGTAAATTCAATTGATTTATCCCTATGAATACACAGGACACCATTCACCATGTTGTTTCACCAGTTTTGATGAACATTCCACAGTTTTGCATGATATATAATTCCCCATTAGTATCATCAGCTTTGATTTGCATTTTTGACAACCTGATGGTTCACTATTAAAATCTTCCTTTAAAAGAATATCAGTCATATAGAATTTGTTAGTCTAAACCTAATTTTTAATTTTTTGCAACTTTCTGTCAAAGTAATTGGACCTTGATATGTGAAGCCCCATTCTTGTTTCGAATCCATCACACCCAGGAATATTTTCAAGAACATAGGGGCTATTTAGCTCAAACAATTTGCAGTTAAAAATTGGGCTTTATAGAACTAGGTATATGACTTTAAAACTAGGATATCTGCAACAGTATTGAAAAAAGCTTGGGTTAGATCATTATAGTCTGGAAAAAAAATTTACATTGCAACTGCAAAACTTGAAATATTAATGAAGAACAAAACTGGTGACTGGTGACCTATATGTACATGCTAGTTACATAATCTATGCTCAAGCTAGTCCTTGAAATACAGTAAAACCTCAACGGGACAAAGAACAAAAATGTGATATCCAAGGATTTGAGAAAGTGAGGGTAAAATACTCTTACTAAGAATGTAATTGAGATATTCATGAAATTCAAGATACAAAATTTCAACTGTGTTAAGTGTGGTACTTACTACATAAATAAAAAGCTGTTTCACAGTCTAGGTGAAGAGAATCTCTTACAAACAGCATCAGGTCCCTGAAATATTTCTCCAAGGAAAAGGATTACTGCTTTTCGATTACATTGTTTGATTTTTTTTTTGGGGGGGGGGGGGGAGAGAAGGGGGATTTTTTTTTAATATACACAAAGTAGAAAATCTTAGAGCTTTAGTGCATGAATGTTCCCAGGAAAAAAGCTTTGATATCTTTCTAAACAGAATGATTTATAACAATGTAGAAAATAGAATCTGCTTGCTAGTAAACTGCCAAACATTTTATAAATACTGTGTAACAGGTCATTTCTACAGTTGTCCACTGCAGAAATTTTTGATTTAATCTTAATAACAAAATAATTGAGCTCCATGTATTTTTTTGTGATGTAGATTGCATGGAAATCTGAATCAACATCTGTCATATACAGTGGAGCCTCATTTATCCAGACGCTTTGGTCCTAGTCAATTTGTCGGGATATGTGAAACGTACGGATATCTGAATTACCAGTTAAGCAAGAACAAATAACATTAAAATATTCTGTTCCGAGGAAAAGTCGTCCAGATACTGAAGCATCCGGATATCATATATATATATATATATTTACCTATGCTTGATATTTTTTTGAACATCACCTTATTTAATTTTTTAAAATATTTCAAAAATAATTGTTTCATTTTTTGGGGGGGTCTGTCCTGTAAAAAGCTCCCTCCAGCACTTGTAGCATAGTTTTTGAATACCGCAGACTTGAAGCCAGATGCTAGCTACCTGTAAATTGCACTGGGTTGAAATTATTGTTTCACCAGTTCACAAGCATGTCATGGTAAACTTCAGTCATTGAGTATTGAACAATACCATTTGTACATTAATTGCTGCATTTTTTTCCCATTTCTCCTTTATTTTGGTAATATGTGCACCCTAAAAATAACTTGTTGCACTTGAAGACATGAGAAGTATTATGTCATGTACACAAAAAGTTCATATAATCTACTAGTCTTAAGACCTTTCTTTGTGGTTTCTTCCTTTTCCACCTTGGTATATAATTTTCCCTACACCCTAGTATTTTTTTCACCCCAATAACGTTCTTTTTCACTGCATATATATATACATGTATCAAAACTTGCTTTGAAAAAAAAAATTACTACATTCTTAACTTTGAGAGAAACTGTAAATTTGGACTTCTTATGTCTTAAAAAAATTAAAAATTACAAAAAAGTGCCATGGTGTTCAGTAAAATTGGCATCAGAAGACAAATAAATCTTTTTGTTTGGATTTAACACAGATTTTTGATATTTTAGGATGAGAAAAAGAGTGTTCGAGAAAAGTTACAAGCAGCCCAAGAAGTTTGTTTACAAGTTCAGCAGGGGATGGACATGGTGGCTTCACTCGGGGAGAGGATCAAAAAGTAAGACATCGATTGTTACTGTGCATCCTCTAAACTATAATTGGCATGTCAGAAATATACGCGAGTTCCGCAACCTACTTTAACAAGCCAATATTAGTCGCCGAGAACCAATCTTTTTGCTTAGTATTTGTAGAGAAATGCTCCCCCAGTTGTGAAAATTAATCGGCACAGATTGATTTCAAACTGGCAAATTGCGAATTTTAATTCCTTGTTAATAAGCACCATTATAAATTTTTAACACAATTGTGTGCGGACAAATTTAAAATTCGACAAAATTGTTTGCAAGTACATGTATGAAAATAACCCTGTAAAAAGAAGCTTGCAATTTTAGTAGTGCGGTAATGTGATATTTAACTTTTCAGTAGTTTTAACTGGACGGTGCCTTGGTGCTGTTATTATGTTGTCTATTCTTGTTATTTTATAGATGTACATGTAGTAATATTTAGTTATTTATTTTTTCAGTACCTTTAACTGGACGGTGCCTTGGTTATCCATTCTAGCTGTGATTGTGTTGTCTGTTCTTGTCGTGGTTCTATACTACATTCCAATCCGCGTGCTCATCTTATTATGGGGTAAGTATAGAGTTATCTACTACATTCCAATCCACGTGCTCATCTTATTATGGGGTAAGTATAGAGTTATCTACTACATTCCAATCCACGTGCTCATCTTATTATGGGGTAAGTATGGAGGTATCTACTACATTCCAATCCGTGTGCTCATCTTATTATGGGGTAGGTATAAAGTTCTCTACTACATTCCAATCCGCGTGCTCATCTTATTATGGGGTAAGTATAGAGTTATCTACTACATTCCAATCCGCGTGCTCATCTTATTATGGGGTAAGTATAGAGTTATCTACTACATTCCAATCCGTGTGCTCATCTTATTATGGGGTAAGTATAGAGTTATCTACTAAATTCCAATCCGCATGCTCTTCTTATTATGGGGTAAGTATGGAGTTATCTACTACATTCCAATCCACGTGCTCATCTTATTATGGGGTAAGTATAGAGTTCTCTACTACATTCCAATCCACGTGCTCATCTTATTATGGGGTAGGTATAAAGTTCTCTACTACATTCCAATCCGTGTGCTCATCTTATTATGGGGTAAGTATTGAGTTCTCTACTACATTCCAATCCGTGTGCTCATCTTATTATGGGGTATGTACAGAGCCATTCTGATGACACTTTTGGTTTGAACCTCCAATTGAAAAAAAATTGCAGGAGAAAGAATCAAATGAAATAATCACTCACCCATTAAAGTTGGCGTGGTTAGTTCCTACCATGCTAAAAATCCATTGTATATATATATATATATATATATATATATATATATTATATGAGTAAAGGTTTTAATCTATTGTGAGTAATAATAATCGAAAGTAAAGATCTTTTAAAATTGTCAAAATGCATTGCTGTACTGTTTGATTACTATATCAGTCTCTCTGATGTCTTCATCATTGTTTCAGGCATCAACAAATTTACGAAGAAGTTGAGGGCCCCTAATGCAATACCAAACAATGAACTGCTGGACTTCCTGTCCCGAGTGCCTTCAGATAGTGAAGTGGTAGGTCCTATCATCTCCTACAGAACATATTGTAAACCAAATACATTGTTTTGTGCACTAAAGGTCTTAATTTGTTCATTTATTATAAAATTCAGTTGCAACTATTAATTTTCAAAGTACAGTACATGTATACAATTAAAGAAGTGGTTTGCTATGAGAACTTTTTGCAAGTCAAAAGGTCCAAAAACATTAAAAAAAAAAAAAAAGAAAAAAAACATATCTGGCATTTGAGTTACACTGTAAGCCTACTATTATTTGAAACATCTTTTATTTGGAATTCTTCAGATTGGATTTAATCCATCCACAACATCTAATTTTGTGACTTTGGTAACATTCTTAAATACATTTGTGAATCATGAAATTGCAGTGAGAAACATTTGCAAGTAAAAGAAGAACAAACAAGAGGCCCATGGGCCACATCGCTCACCTGAGAAGCTTTGACCATTCTGTTCTTTACCAGATTCCCCCCTTGTAATACATAATGCATCCCACCCTACCCCACTGATCATAATTTAGACATTTTGAAATCTACACTACCCCAGGATCCTTCCATGTGCACATAAGTTTCAGCTTTTCTGGCCCATTGGTTCTTGAGAAGAAGATTTTCAAAGATTTTTCCTATATATTTCTATGTAAAACTTTGGTTCCCCATTGTGGCCCCGCCCTTCCCCCGGGGGTCATGATTTGAACAATTTAGAATCTACACTATACCAGGATGCTTCCACATAAGTTTCAGCTTTTCTGGCCCAGTGGTTCTTGAGAAGAAGATTTTCAAAGACTTTTCCTATATATTTCTATGTAAAACTTTGATTCCCCATTGTGGCCCCGCCCTTCCCCTGGGGGTCATGATTTAAACAATTCAGAATCTACACTACCCTAGGATGCTTCCACGTAAGTTTCAGCTTTTCTGGCCCAGTAGTTCTTGAGAAGAAGATTTTCAAAGATTTTTCCTATATATTTCTATGTAAAACGTTGATTCCCCATTGTGGCCCCGCCCTTCCCCGGGGTGTCATGATTTTTACAATTTAAAATCTACACTACCCCAGGATGCTTTCACATAAGTTTCAGCTCTTCTGGCCCAGTGGTTCTTGAGAAGAAGATTTTTAGCTCACCTGAGCCGAAGGCTCAAGTGAGCTTTTCTGATCACATTTTGTCCGTCGTCCATCCGTCTAGCTGTCCGTCTATCCGTCTGTAAACTTTTCACATTTTCGACTTCTTCTCAAGAACCACTGGGCCAATTTTGACCAAACTTGGTACAAAGCATCCTTGGGTGAAGGGGAATTGAAATTGTTAAAATGAAGGGACATATCCCCTCGCAAGGGGAGATAATCAAGAAAAGACAAAAATAGGGTGGGGTCATTAAAAAATCTTCTTCTCAAGAACCACTGGGCCAGAAAAGCTGAAACTTATGTGAAAGCATCCTAGGGTAGTGTAGATATTAAATTGTTCAAATCATGACCCCCAGGGGAAGGGCGGGGCCACAATGGGAAATCAAAGTTTTACATAGAAATATATAGGAAAAATCTTTGAAAATCTTCTTCTCAAGGTCTACTGGGCCAGAAAAGCTGAAACTTATGTGGAAGTATCCTAGGGTAGTGTAGATTGTAAATTGTTCAAATCATGACCCCCGGGGGAAGGGTGGGGCCACAATGGGGAATCAAATTTTTACATAGAAATATATAGGAAAAATCTTTGAAAATCTTCTTCTCAAGAACTACTTGGGCAGAAAAGCTGAAACTTATGTGGAAGCATCCTGGGATAGTGTAGATTCTAAATTTTAAAAATCATGACCCCCGGGGGAAGGGTGGGGCCACAATGGGGAATCAAAGTTTTACATAGAAATATATAGGAAAAATCTTTGAAAATCTTCTTCTCAAGAACCACTGGGCCAGAAAAGTTGAAACTTATGTGGAAGCATTCTTGGGTAGTGTAGATTCTTAATTGTTCAAATCATGACCCCCGGGGAAAGAGCGAGGCCACAATGGGGAATCAAAGTTTTACATAGAAATATATAGGAAAAATCTTTGAAAATCTTCTTCTCAAGAACCACTGGGCCAGAAAAGCTGAAACTTAGGTGGAAGCATCCTGGTATAGTGTAGATTCTAAGTGAAATCATGACCCCCGGGGGAAGGGTGGGGCCACAATTGGTAATCAAAGTTTTACATAGAAATATATTGGAAAAATCTTCGAAAATCTTCTTCTCAAGAACCACCGGGCCAGAAAAGTTGAAACTTATGTGGAAGCATTCTTGGGTAATGTAGATTTTAAATTGTTCAAATCATGACCCCCAGGGGAAGGGTGGAGCCACAATGGGGGGATCAAAGTTTTACATAAAAATATATAGGAAAAATCTTTGAAAATCTTCTTCTCAAGAACCACTGGGCCAGAAAAGCTGAAACTTATTTGCACATGGAAGGATCCTGGGGTAGTTGATTTCAAAATGTCTTAATTATGATCAGTGGGGTAAGGTGGGGATACATAATGTATTACAAGGGGGAAATCTGGTAAAGAACAGAATGGTCAAAGCTTCTCAGGTGAGCGATGTGGCCCATGGGCCTCTTGTTTAATGACCCCACCCTATTTTTGTCTTTTCTTGATTATCTCCCCTTGTGAGGGGACTTGGCCCTTTATTTTAACAATTTAAATTCCCCTTCACCCAAGGATGCTTTGTACCAAGTTTGGTCAAAATTGGCCCAGTGGTTCTTGAGAAGAAGTCGAAAATGTGAAAAGTTTACAGACGGACAGACAGACGGACGGACGGACGACAGACAAAATGTGATCAGAAAAGCTCACTTGAGCCTTCGGCTCAGGTGAGCTAAAAATCTAGCAATGAAATATTTCTCCCTTGCAAATGAAAGTTGGTTTACAGTAAATTTGTTAAAGTAACTCTTTTATGAAGGACACATCACTCTAAAAGTTTTCTTAGCTCAACATCTTTTAAAATACTTGAATTTCAAAGTCCGTTTTTATACATACCTCAATTTAAAAAATATTAGTTTTCAATAAGAATTTTGTTTAACCTGAGATGATTATTTGTTTTACAGAGTCAGTATAGAGAGTTTGCTCCTGATGTCCCAAACCTTGGCAAAAAGAAAAGAGCTTAAACATCAATTAGGATTAATTAATTATCTCAAGGTTGTGTTTTATCTGGAAATGTTTCTCGGTGACGTCAGGTGTAGCATTGCTCCAAAATTCAATGAAGGATCCAAAATATCAGTAGCTACAAATGCTCTAATCGAAGAGCTAAAACTATTTTCAAATTTATTGTGACATTTCATATTTTTTCAGGGTAATTCGTTTTTGGTTATAGTTTATTATGGAAGAAAGATCTGTTTTTTATTGAGGATTTCATTATGTATACATGTGTGTGTGACTGTGAATATTTTACATAAATTAAATTTCAAAACTTTTTTGAGATATGGGATATGATATATTAGAATGGGAATTTATGTGCAACACATATAAACATGTATTAAATATGAAATTTAAGAAACTAGTGAATTGCTACAGAAATATTTGTAAGAAATTTGAAGCATGACTGTTAACTGACATAGACTACTACTTTCAAATGCAGAAGGTGCTACCTATGCAAGTTACAAGTTCAAAGAAGCTACTAAGGTGTTTTCAAAATCAAAGTCTAAAAATTTTATTGGTATCAAATAGAAAGTTATTAAGTTCAAAGAAAGATGTGTTCAAATGTGGAAAAAAAAAAATCAATCAAAATTTTAATTTTTATGGGTATTAAACTTGATATTACAGACAGAACATATGATAATTTATTTAATTTCAAACCTTTAGAATACCCTCTCATGGATAGCATCATTCTTCTGTCATAGAGCAAACCATATTGAGGAATAAATCTAAATTTATATAACTGCAGCATAAGACTTGCATTTAAAGTTTTTAGAGGGGAAATGTATAGTTTCAAAAAAAAAATCATCTTAAGATCATGGTTATCAAAGAGTTCTTAATATTGTGATTGCTGAATTAAGAGCTCCAAAGATCATGATTATTACACAAGTGTTCTATAGATTTTAGGATTAGAGAAGAGTTCTAACTTTCATGTCTTCCATGTAGCATTAGATTTTTTTTTTAAAAAATAATAGAATAGGTTAAGTATCTTAAATCATTGTGCCTTGGCCAATACACTGTAAACCATAAAGGTTAAACTGATGTTCCCCCTAATGATATGATCTTGACTAGATGATGTGTTCATTTCTACAACAAAAAAATAAGTATTCTGTTGTGCATCAGCTCTTATGTTTATATGCTCAAGATGAAGAAAAGTACAATGTACATATTTTATTTTAATACTCAGTAGTCTTTAGTTGTACATTTTTAGGTCACCTGAGTAAACTCAGGTGACCTATTGCTATCCGTTTTCGTCCGTCGTCGTGCGTCGTGCGTTGTGCGTTAACATTTGAACATTTTCAGCTTCTTCTCTGCAACCACAGAACCAATTTCAACCAAATTTGGCCTAAAGCATCTATGGCTGAAGGGGAACAAAAATTGTGAATTTCATGATCCCTGCCCCCCTGGGGCCTGAGGGGTGGGGCCAAAACCACTAAAATTAATGCAATCTTTAAAAATCTTCTTCTTAACTCCTGGACATCAAGCAGTCAAACTGTTTGCATGATTGTAATCAGCAATGAGTCCTCTACCAAAATTGTGAAATTCATGGCCCTGGGGTCAGGGGTTCTAGTGCTAGGGCGGGGCTAAATAAGTAGGTAGTGAAAATGCATTATTTCTTTGAAAATCTTCTTCTCTGCTCCTGGGTATTAAATAAACTAACTAAGTGCATAGTTATGATGAACAAGAGTGCATGCCTCTACCAAAATTGTGAATTTTATGGCCCCAGGGTCAGGGGTTCTGGTGTTAGGGCGGGGCTCTATTGATTATATAGTGAAAATACATGAATTCTTTGAAAATCTTCTTCTCTGCTCCTGGGTATTAAATAAACTAACTAAGTGCATAGTTATGATGAACAAGAGTGCCTCTACCAAAATTGTGAATTTGTTTGGCCCCAGGGTCAGGGGTTCTGGTGTTAGGGCGGGGCTCTATTGATTATATAGTGAAAATACATGAATTCTTTGAAAATCTTTTCTGCCTCTGGGTATTAAATAAACTAAGTGCATAGTTATGATGAGCAAGAGTGCCTCTACCAAAATTGTGAATTTTATGGCCCCAGGGTCAGGGGTTCTGGTGTTAGGGCGGGGCTCTATTGATTATATAGTGAAAATACATTAAATCTTTGAAAATTTTCTTCTCTGCTCCAGGGTATTAAGCAGATGAACTACCTATATAGTTATGCTGGACAAGGGCCCATATCTTCCAGAATTGTGAATTTCAAGGCCCCAGGGTCAGGGTACCAGAGCTGGGGGGGGGCTGTGCGTATATACTGAAAATGAATGAATGGTTTGGAATCTGCTCCTTGGTATTAATCAATTATCAAGGCCTAAGGGTCAGGGGTTCATGTGTGGTAGGGGCACTATTGATTATTGCTGAATATTACTGATTAGTTGAAATGCATTTTTTGTTCCCTTACCCTGCATATGGGTATTAAGTAAACAAACTAAGCAGCTGCTAAGTGTATTGATATGATGATCAATGGTGCCTCTTTCAAAATTGTGAATGCCATAGCATCTGGCTTAAAACATGAATCAAATTCAATCACTGGAAAGTTGTTGCATAATACTCAGGTGACCTATAAGGCCCATGGGCCTCTTGTTTGTGTTTTATTGTTCATACTGACTTGGATCAGTCTAAAGTAAACAATTTTTACATATGAGTTCATGTTTTCAAAATATCAGATGAAAATTTTTAACAACCAGGTACATATTTGTATCCAATATATTTTCAATATTTCAATGAGTTTTTGTTTTGCAGTATTTGAATATCGGTATAAATTTTAATTTTTGGGGAATGGTTATATATTTGAGAATGATATTTTTTTATTATAGATTTTCTTAACCCAGTTTCTCAATGTTTGAATAAAAACTTAAGAAGTAAATTATTTTCCACAGCAGAATTAATAGCACAGGAAATAAACAGAACTGAATAATAAGTTTCTTTTTGGGGGAAAAGGAGTAAACTGCTATCAAAGAAATTATCATTTTAGGCCATACATTTAATATTTTGATGGTTTAATAATTAATGTAAACTTAATAATTTAAACTTGAAAAAAATTATTGAAATTTTGATACAGGGGGATTTTTTGAACATGTTAAAAGGATATAAATACAGTGCTGAATATTGAAAGTTTGTGGAAAACAGTTGCAGGTGAAGATAAGATTGATAATTATATAACTGGGTATTTTACTTCCTGTTGATAGAGTACATGTACTATAAATCTCCTGTCATCATGAACGTAACATTCCTATTATTAAATCCGTCCTATCCATCTTTTGCTATTTCTTTTCTTCCCTCATATATACAAGTCATTAAGGAGGATTGATCCTCTGCAAAGGGAGATAATTCTATAATAATGATTGAAAATAATTTTTTATTCAACAGTTTCAAAGTTATTTTTGAGTGGTATATGTTTTTAAAAATGTTTAAAAGTGTTATCTCCTGTTATCTTTAGAAAATTGTGTAGAAAAATTCCATTTCACAGGTTCTTTGTATCTTAAAGTTGTTCAAAATTCTCCATGTTTTTCCACTGTACACATGGAGAATATTTTTTTTTAATTAGAAATAAGTTTTGATATAGGAAACTTTCCATGTATCTGTCTCCCTGATTTCAGTTTATTGTTATGTTGGGGTTGATTGTTGCAATTACCAATATTTGTTATTTATTTACAATTAAATATTTTATAAAAACAAAAAGGTGTTCATCTTTGAAAGGTTGAAAAACACTGATGTGATATAGTACTGCCTTGTGTGGTCATCATTAATATTTTGGGACCTCATTCCCATGATAAGCTAGTGAAGGATTTTATAATCAGTAAGGAAACTCGCAAATTCAACCATCATTTGCATAACAGTGTATTTCTCAGCATTTGATTTAAATTGTGGTTTTCGCCAGTATTATTGGATATCGACTAATCAGAAGACATAACCACCATATTATAATACCTGTTAATACATGTATACTAGCTGCTCTGAAGAGGAGCAAATAAACCAATGCATATGTTTAAAATTCCTGCATGTATATTTTGGGCAGGATCAATTTCATCACTCTATTTGGTCTATATTTAATGAAAAACATCGACACCACTAATGCATATTATTTAAACAATAAAATGCTTTCTTTGTGTTATTACTGGAATTAACAGAAGCACCTGTTGCAGAAAAAATACATAACCCGCTTACGTGGGTTATGTAAATTTTTTCTGCAATAGCTGCGACCGTTAATTCCAGTAATAACAAACAAAGAAAGCATTTTTTTAATTTTTAATTTAGTATTGCATGTCAAGCCCATAAAAACAATATGTAGTCTCTGATGCTGGATCTACTACCTTTTCATTTTAACATCAATTTTCCTTACTGTGCACAATTTTCCACAAATATCCAACCTTTTCTCGCCTTGCATCATCATTTGCAAACCGAGGATTTCAAGAAGTCTGCCATAGTTCTCTCCCTTGCAAGTTGCAACATTAACTTTTCAAGATAAATAATGCATTAAAGTGGTTTACTATAATGCAGCAAAATATTTCAACAAGATATAAATTGCATGATACAAATTTTCCTTCCATAATCTAACTTAAAACCACTCCAACTGCATCATTTATCATGGACATGTATACACTTAAAAGGAATTCTGTTGCATACTAAATCTGATGTCACATGGTCGACACAAGTTGTTGCGACAGTTGCTATTTTAATAATAAATGATTGACAAAAACAAATAATAAGAGAGGAGTAAATTTATTTCTGTTCTTTCTGTGCCTTTCTCATTTTCTGTAAGACAGCCTGCATTTCTTCTCTCTTCCTCTTGGCACGGATGTGTGATCCCAGCTGAAAGAAAAAGAAAAAACTTTACAGACATCAGTTAGGCACAGCGCTTAATGCGTCCTTTTCTGGCTACATGGTAATGCACCCATTCTACTGAGAATTTTTAAAATGGGAAAAAATAACAATTTGGAAGTATTCAGAACGTGTGATGTCTTAATATTGTAACACTCAGACAGATGGATTGTAGGTTTATAACCTCAATGCGAACCATTACATACGTATAATCTCAAAATTCAAAATTTCCATCTGTCTATCAGTTTGGATTTTTTACCATATGGAGATAGGCAAAACTGAGGAATTGAGGATAATGGATAGGTACTCAAAAATTTTAGAAATACAATGCAATAGCAGTTTCCAAGTTTGGCTATGTGAAACACAAAATGTCTGTTTGCTCAAAAACAAAAGGCTCAAGAACTCAAGAAGTTTACTTTAACACCAGTCAAAAGATAGTCTCACTACATGTGCAACCTTGACACTGATCTAGGGTTGCCAAATGAATTTCACGTTGCCCCATTTGGCCAATAAAATATCAAATGAAACAATGTGTGAAATTACTGTGTGAAGATTTTATTGCATTTCTCCCTGTTTCAAAATGCTCTTGAATTATTAAATGTAAAACTTCCCATATTTTTCAAACAAGAATGACAAGCAACAAGTGATGTAGACATACTAATGTTTGCGATATCATTGAAGTGCTGTTCTTTCTATGAATCAATGACACTAAAAGAAATTTACCCTTCTCTTGGCAAATTTGAGTGCTCGTTTGTCTTTCTGTATTCTCAGCAATTCCTGCATGCGTCTCTCATAAGGAGCAAATCCTGTGATTTCCCTGACTAAGTCTCGGACAAATCTAGCGTGCTTGGTTAGTGCCTGACAGAGAAAAAATACAACACACATCAGAAAATCATTGAAATATCAGCATGACATACATTTTATACAAAAAATACTCGCAGCAAAAGAATAACATGTAAGAATTTAGCCAATGTAGGTTAAATCTGTTTACAATACAATCAGCAAGACCAGTTTCAGTAAATGGTTAAAAAGTTATAACATTAAAATCTTTCAGTAAATTTTCATTTCTTTAAATGTTTCCACAACAAGAAACAATTATTTATGTAACAAAAGGCCCAGGGGCCACAGCACTCACCTGAGCACACAGGCTAGGAAAAAGCAAATTATTCTCAGATCAGAAATGAAAATTTACTGAGTTTTGAGGGGGGGGGGGGGGGGCTTAAATCTTAACTCCCCAGGGGGTCATGATTTAAACAAACTTGAATCTGCACTACCTGAAATGATTCCACATCAGTTTCATCTTTTCTGGCCCAGTGGTTCTTGAGAAGAAGATTTTTAAACTTTGATCGGCCATTTTGGCCCCACCCTACCCCCGGGGGTCATGATTTGAACAAACTAGAATCTACACTACCTGAGGATGATTTCATATAAATATCACTAATTATGGCTTTGAAGTACTTGAGAAGGAGATTTCAAAAGATTTCCCTATATATTCTTAATAAAAAATTTGATCGACCATTTTGGCCCCTACCTTCCCCCGGGGGTCTGGGTCATGATTTGAACAAACTTGAATCTACACTACCTGAGATGATTCCACATTAGCTTTAACTTTCCTGTCCTAATGGTTCTTGAGAAGAAGATTTTTAAAGATTTTTCCTATATACATGTATTCCTATGTAAAACTTTGATCTGCTATTTTGGCCCCACCCTACCCCCGGGGGTCATGATTTGAACAAACATAAATCTACACTACCTGAGGATGATTCCACTTGAGTCTCATGTTTCCTGGCACAGTGGTCCTTGAGAAGAAGACTTTTGAAGATTTTTCCTATATATTCCTATGTAAAACTTTGATGGGCAATTCGGGCCCCTACCTTCCCCCGGGGGTCATGATTTAAAAAAAATTAAATCTATACTACTTGAGGATGATTTCACCTGAGTTTTATCTTTCCTGTCTCAATGAATCTTGAGAAGAAGATTTTTAAAGATTTTCCCTATATATTCCTATGCAAAACTTTGATCGGCCATTTTGGCCCCCTCCTACCCCGGGGGGTCATGATTTGAAAAAACTTGAATCTACACTACCTGAGGATGATTCCACATGAGTTTCATCTTTCCTGGCCCAGTGGTTCTTGAGAAGAAGATTTTTGAAGATTTTTCCTATATGTTCCTATGTAAAACTTTGATCGGCCATTTTGGCCCCACCCTACCCCCGGGGGTCATGATTTGAACAAACTTGAATCTACACTACCTGAGGATGATTCCACATGAGTTTCATCTTTCCTGGCCCAGTGGTTCTTGAGAAGAAGATTTTTAAAGATTTTTCCTATAGATACATGTATTCCTATGTAAAACTTTGATCGGCCATTTTGGCCCCTACCTTCCCCCGGGGGTCATGATTTAAAAAAAATTAAATCTATACTACTTGAGGATGATTTCACCTGAGTTTTATCTTTCCTGTCTCAATGAATCTTGAGAAGAAGATTTTTTAAAGATTTTCCCTTTATATTCCTATGCAAAACTTTGATCGGCCATTTTGGCCCCCTCCTACCCCGGGGGGTCATGATTTGAAAAAACTTGAATCTACACTACCTGAGGATGATTCCATATGAATTTCATCTTTCCTGGCCCAGTGGTTCTTGAGAAGAAGATTTTTAAAGATTTTTCCTATATGTAAAACTTTGATCGGCCATTTTGGCCCCACCCTACCCCCGGGGGTCATGATTTGAACAAACTTGAATCTGCACTACCTTAGGATGATTCCACATGAGTTTCATCTTTCCTGGCCCAGTGGTTCTTGAGAAGAAGATTTTTAAAGATTTTTCCTATATGTAAAACTTTGATCGGCCATTTTGGCCCCACCCTACCCCCGGGGGTCATGATTTGAACAAACTTGAATCTACACTACCTGAGGATGATTCCACATGAGTTTCATCTTTCCTGGCCCAGTGGTTCTTGAGAAGAAGATTTTTTTTAAATGCCATTAATTTTTCTTTAATTCATAATTATCTCCCCTTGGAAAAGGGCGTGGCCCTTTATTTGAACAAACTTGAATCCCCTTCACCCAACGATACTTTGTGCCAAGTTTGGTTGAAATTGGCCCAGTGGTTCTTGAGAAGAAGATGAAAATGTGAAAAGTTTACAACGACAACGACGACGACTACGACAACAACGACAGACAACGGACAAATTTTGATCAGAAAAGCTCACTTGAGCCTTCGGCTCAGGTGAGCTAAAAACACTAACGTTACATGCATTGCAGATCATACTAAGTTTACACATACCCCTCTCCTTCTTGTGGGCCTGGTTTTTCTGCCAGCTTTTAAAGGAATGGTCTTGTGGCCCTTGTTGAGGCCAACAGCCATATTATACTTGATACCCATGGCTGTAAAAGAAATTAAATGAATACTGTATAATGCATGTTCCAGGAGAAACTATCTTGGAAGTTGGAGGCAATTCGAGTTTACATAATTCAACAAATGTGGAGACACACACAGTTCAAGCAGAAGAAAATGTATGAGGATGTAGTTTACAACAAAGATTAGAAATATAATTTTATACTGATTATCATCCAGTGTTGAATGACTAAAACTTCAGAGAAATAACCAAAATTATTGCACTATTTCTGACGTTCAGAAGTAAACAGTGAGATTTATGTTCATTTTTCTAATTTTCCTAAGAAACAATGGGATCAAATTTGACTTATATTGGACGTGTCGATTTTAAATATTCAAAATATATCATGATTAGGGTTCCAATTTTTCCTAAACGAGCAGGATTACAGAGATTTTCATGAACTATCAGTAACTCCATACCGACTGACTATGGGCAAACCGGAAAAGGAAGTAAGCATTATTATTGAGTTGTCTGCTCTTGAATGATCCCGCCAGTTACGAAAATCAACAAGATCACTCATCTTCATCCTTTGAACAGGTTTCAGTTAGTTAACTGTTATAAATAACAGAATGGTTTTATGATGTAGAATTTCTTCAAACATGGATGGGAAAGGTCCCAGGTAAGATAATTCAATATGTCAATACTGGAAATTAATTAATAAACTTATGTAAAATAAAATTTGTCATTTGAAAGAGTCGATCCACCATTTAATTTAGAAATAAAAAAAATATTACAAAATCTACTACGTTTGTCACTTTTAACAATTCCCTGTTTTAGTATGCATAATATAGGCTTTGTTCTCATCCTTCATTTCTTCTTTATCTCGGATAATGGTTTTGAATTTTGTTGCAGTCAATTTCTATGTTTATAATATTTTTCAAATTGAAGGACCTTTAAGTTTAAGAAGACACTTAGCTTGAACAAACCAAGTAAAGCCCTCGGCGAGGTAAAGCTTCCTCCTCCAATCGACAACGATGTAAACAACAAAGTAAACAACGAGACTGAAGAAGATGGTTGGTTGACGACACGTCCCTATTCCTTCAAAGATGACAGTCGGGAAACAGTTAATCAAGGACCCACTACATCATCAAAGGCACAGCTACAAGGCATACTGTCTTTTAAGACTTTTATAAATTATTTAAAACTAATACTTGGCATTATTTAAAACTAATACTTCACTATAATACTTGGCAGGTATTTTTTTCTGCCAAGAATTATTCAGTAACCCATTTTAGACAAAAGGGGGGAAATGCACGGATCATGCTCAGTTTATCACACTAGAAGCATGATTTAATAAGATATCGAATTAGAAGAAGAGTACATCTTGTCATCTTCCTATTTCATAGGAATTTATAAAATTCCTTATTTAGGGGACCAGAACCCATAAATTTAGCTATGTGTCCAAAATGTTCTGTCATGCCTTTTAAAGTAAAAAAGTGTTAGTACAAATAAATGAGCTACTTCTGTTATTTTTGAACAGATGATTTTGCTAAGAAGCCCACAACTGAAAGTAAAACAGTTCCATTTAGTGGGAGGAATAAAAAGGTAACAATAGAATCAATTTCTTTCCCAATCATCTAGCAAGGTTTGTCTAATTTGAAATTTTCTACATGTTCTATGAGTAACATGAAAAAATGAAGCTTAGTTTCTTCAATCTTGTATGGAAAAATAACACCCATTTTAAGATGTTATAGAATGAATGAAAAACTAAATGTTAATATTTTTGATGAGAAAAGAAAATTCACTGCATTTCAATTTGAATGTTTTCAAGCCTCATCAAACCTCCATCATGGCATTTGCTCAGAAGAAGAAACCAGTGGCTGCAGTCGCTCCACATAGGTATCATACTTACATTTTACAGCATCTGACAGACCTTTATCCTCATCCTTCATCTTGATCATATTTGCGACTTATATTATATTCTGTCACTTAACCTTTTGTTTAAAATTTATCCCCATTTCTGTTTGAAGGTCCCCTGTGAAGACTGAGGAGGGCGGGGCTAAGAGAAAGCGATCCCCCGGGAAAGCTGTCATCAGCATTCTAGATGATGATGACGATGACTTCCTTGATGATTTCGACATACCAAGTAGGATTTTATATGTGTAGAACTTGAACAAAATTCATATCAATTTTCTGATCAATTCATTTGTTTCAGTGCTAAAATTTTAGTTCATGGAACAGAAACATTAAGGAATTAAAATGTTTTGTCTCAATTTCAAATTCCTATTGTAGCATATATATTAATTATCTCTTGTAGCAACTCCAGTAGCAAGTAGAAGAAATGCTAATTTTTCTACTAGCAGAGAGGTACACATACATGCCCATGTTGAAAGTTTTTGTCTTTTGAATTTTTAAAATTTCATAAAATTTTCTTTGATTTGATTTATGTTTGTACGTTGTTGTTTCCATTTTACAGGAATCGCCAAGAAAGATGGTAAACTTTAACAAGACCACTGACTCAGAAAGACAGATTATGGATGCCTCTGGGGTAAGCAATTAATTTCTTGTATAACATGTATAATATCACTTAAAACCACCTTCATGGAAAAACTTTTGTCAGCCAATGCTTTTAAAGAACATACTTTAAAAAAGATTATAAACAAGTGAAACTTTTATTAATACAGGAGGCACCTTGTGAAAGCGATTTTAATTAAAATCATGTATGTCATGAATTTTTCTTCCAACAAATATTTTGACTGGTACAATCATGATTTCATCGATCAGCAGGATAAAAGTACGTGGTACTGTCAGATTTTGAAAGGCCTGTCTTGAACTACTGATATAGCCAAATAGCAACACAATATTAAAGAACAATAATTTTGCTATTTCTTTTTCTCTTTCTCTTCTCATTCATGTAGATGACAGATCTGTTTGGAAACAGCGATTCAGATGAAGAAAGTCGTGTAGTAGCTAAGCGACGTCGGACTCTAGAAGATGTATCTCCCAATCAAAGTTCTTCCTCTGTAATGGGTAAGACTGAGACATGACTAACAAATATCGTCCTCTAGTCTGGCTGTTTGTCTCTCAACTTTTTTGGGCCATAATTTTGTAAACTTTACAAGAAATATTGCATGTATTTTGTATAAATATGAGATATATAGAGGATATCTATATTGTGTGATTTGATATTGGCTTTATCCAACTCGTTGAAAAGGTGTGTGTATTATTTATATAATATACACCATTTCAATGAGTTGGATAAAGCAAATATCAAATCACACAATTATATATGTTCTATTTATCTCATAAGACTTTCGTTTTAACAAAATTTTGAGACTTCCCTTGCGAAACTACATGAATGATTGCTAATTCAAATTGATGACGTATAACTTGATGACGTAGCACCGTTGATGTTGACATGCCTCAAAAGAAAGTAGATCGTGTTCAAAATTTAGAATTTTTGCTATCTGCGTCTTTGAAAACATTATGTGTCAATTGCTGGGACTTAACATCAAACGAACTTCTGACTTAAAGTTGTAAGGACCATGGGATCATGAAAACTAACTCTGTACGGTGGTAGTACAAAACGTGTTAGGCAAGGCCATAGGCGATTCATTGTTGATCCATAGTAAGTTAAACCTACATTACTAGGTAGGCATACATAGTATAATATAAGAAAGCATTATTGAAGATGTTAAAGGAATCTTAGAACAACAAATTAACTGCTGGGCTAGCTTGACTTTCTCCGAAAACGATTTTAAGGGGGGTAACAACTGTCTTCAAGTAGCCAATACAGGTTCCTTGATAAAATAAAAAATAAGACACTTCTTTGACATATACAAATATTTTTCTTGCTTTCAACGATATTATCGCTCTTTATCATTCATTTTATTGGTGCAATAATTTTCACAAATGAAAGTTTCAATAAAATAAAATCTTGAAGTGAGGGATCATGTCAAAACCGGAATTGCTATTGATAAAGCATCTACCCATTGATAAGGCACAAGTTTATCTAATGGGCTGTATCTCCAACATGTATGAGATAAATATGTTATGCATATATTATCAATTTTGCCAATTTGAAGTAATGTAACAGCATACTCAAAGGTACATTTAAGATTTCATTTAGGAACTTGCTATGCAGGGAAATTTTATATTGCAAATATATTATTTATGATTAAAAATTTTTTAAAAGGTATGGTATACTTACACTCAGGTATTTAGACGTCTGTAGATAATTCTTCATCTAAAGCCAACATGAAATACAGGAAAATAGGCAGATCAAAGCAGTAATGAATATTTTTATTTCTTTCTTATTTTTACAGGAAAGTGCTTGCCATTAAGAAAAGATAATTCCTTGGATCGACTTGAGCCTCAGGTGAACATCATACCTACACGGCAGGCAGAATCAATGTCAACACCAGAGGAAAACATCTCTGTTAGAACAGAATTACAGACAGGCTCTAAACCAAAGTCTCGGGAAAATAGGGGTGTTAGACTCAGAAGTCTTCAAACAGACCAAAAAGAACAAAAGTACAGAAACCAACAGAACATGGGAATTCCAAATGCAGCTACAGAGGTATACTCAATACAAGATATACCGTATTTGGCCGAGTATAATACGCATTGATGTAAAATACGCACCCCCCTTTTTGAGTCTGAAACTGGGGAAAAAAACGCAGTTCGGATGTATTATACGCAACAGAAAAATTTACCAAGCGATGTTCTGAACTTTGAAAATCGCGGTAATTTGTTACGAAAATCGGCGCGAGGATTAAGTGTCAAAAATTTACTGAACACACTTTTTTTTTAAATACACACTTTATAACTTCTCTTAATCCTGACATTCCATATCGCGGCAATATGGAGAAAATTATTTATTCATTTATTTCAACAAAGTACAAGATAATATTGCGTAAAAGTAATAACAGATTTTTTTAAAGAATAGTTACGGTGATTTTGAAATAATGCGTCGCCATATTCTTAGATGAAATAATTTTATTTCAACAAAGCAAGAGATATTGTTGAAAGTTTTATCAGTTGTCATATTTAATTTTGGTTCTAGATAATCATGCTGAAAATTATCTGACAATATTTTAACAGGAAACGAAACTGAAACATCAAAGTATTTATTTCTTTAAAAAGACTACGATTTTCCTCTTCTAATTCTTCGCGGATATCTTATTTTCTAAATGATACCACTTTTATTAAAAGTTTTAGCATAATTTATATTTCATTTGTCAACTCTCAATTATTTAAACAAGAGGCCGATAAGTATAAGATAAGGTAAAATTACATTTAACAAGTGTTTAATTGTTTAAAGTGCCGTAATCAACACATGCTCACACATACGAAAGGTCATAAACCGACCCCCCTTTTTAACAAAGAAAATAATCAAAGCAATTAACATGGCAGTAAATAATCAGTGCTGTAACTGTAAAAACATTGCTTTGGAGTCGGTAGACATTTAATTGCCCCGAGGGGTGTTGATAGGTAATTATCATTTGACCAGCGCACGTGTGTCACAACATTGGCTTCCTTTCATTGGGACGTATGGAGGGGTGTTAGATATTGTTGCAGATTATCAATGAGTTATTTTAAACCTAAAATTAATAATTATTTTATTGTATTTTATTAAAAAATTATTTATTACTTTGTCTGGCAGATAAGGTGCATGTGCACTATCATTACGGAAACACGTGACATAAGCATGAGTTAACGTCTAAAAATAACATCGGTAATGGCGGCCTCCTCGGAGACAATCAACATGCAACTCAAATTACTTTTAACTTACTTTTTCATGTCATTTTGGTATCAAAAGATTGTGAAAGTGACATTTTTAAGAAGCATACCTTCCAACAATAACTTTCCGAAGTTTAAAATATGGCAATAAACAAAAGAAATTGCATATGTCTCTAGGTAATACTACGGTATTTACGTATGATAGCCGTGTTTCACCTGAAAGAAAAACTTGTCAAAATCCCATTGTGATGTAAAATATGCATCCCTTTCTCACAGTAATTTATTTTAGGAAAAAAGTGCGTATTGTATTCCCCGAAATACGGTATATAAACTCAAGAATGGAACATGTTACTTTGTACAATGCTCATTCGTACATCATTGAAATATTCAAATCTTTGAGATCATTTTTATATGGATGGTTTTTGGCTTATCTAGCTTTTAATCATATAATATTTTACTATGTATACATAGGTACACGATGACAACATCCAAACAGAACTGTTTAGGACAATGGAGGAGATCTGTGATATTGTGTGTAAGGCCAGCACAGCTGATCTCATGTCCATGCTTCCTCAGAACTATCAACGACTTCAGCATTTACTTGCTCTAAGGTACATAGAAGAACTGATGTGTAAGATTTCCTATTGGTATTTTTTGTGAGTTTAAAATTTTTTTTTACCTGTGATAGAAAAATAGATAATGGTTGGCCAAATGTTATTAATATCATTTATTCCTTTCAATAATCAGAATGTGGAATATGGTCTTTCCTACTTCGTAAGATTTTCTTTGTATGAAATTTTAGGAAGCAGCTGAAGGATTCTTATGCTGCAAAAGAGCAGAATAGAAGCATAAAGAGACTGTCAGCACCAGCAGCAACATTGACAAGCAATGCAGCAGGCAGTAAGCTCCCCTTGTCAGATAATTATCAGACATTTGACAATATGGATTCAGCTTCACATCAGAACAGTGTGAAATCCGGTGATATTTCTAGTCCCATAGTGCCACCCAGGTCAGCACTGTTGTCCAATACCTCAACCCCTGCCACAGAAAGGACATTTAATTCTCCAAGTTCTGGACCTAGCAGGTCTTTCTCTTTCAAGAAGACCACTCCCACTGGTTTTAATTCTCCAATACCTTGTGGAGACAGCTTCTTTGAGGAGGATGCTAAATTGACTCAAACGCATCACAGTTTCATCAGCTCTTTCAACAGGAAATCTCCCAGTTCTTCTTTCAAAGAACCACCTGTGATGAGTTTCAACCAATCATCCGGTACCTCATTTATGAACCAATCAGATACATCATATTTGAACCAATCAGCATCTAACTCACATTTCAACCAATCAAATGATAGAGGTTACTCATTTGGTACTTCACACAACCAGTCATCAGTAACAGGCAACTCCATAAGTACTATTGAAGCACCTTCTACCACAGACTTCAGTTTCGACTATAAACTAAATAACGACAGTGGTGTGATACAGACCCAGTCAGCTAAGCAGGACAAACCGTCCACTAGTGTTCCAGATTCTGAAGACGAGGCTGATTTGATTGATCAGTTTCCAGAGGAACTGTTTGCCCCTGATGACTTTGACTCGGAGTTTACAGAGGAAGTGCAGTCAGACTCTTTACCACAGATTTCTGTGACGCCTAGACGACAGAGCACCAATCAGAGCTTTGGTAAGTAAGCTTTAATCTGTAAAAGGTAGCCAAGCAGAAAATAGCAACTCCCTACACACTATTAAGCAGACAAGAAATGTGAAAGCAGATAGAAAATGTTGAAGTCACAGACTTTGTACTTATTGACTGAAATCTAGATTCCTTGAAAACTGTGACGAAATGAAATCCATTTGATGACTGAGTAGCACAGGGAAGTAGGAAAATTTCTGAAATAACTGAATAATTCATTCTGTTAATCTATGTATACTTAATAAACCCTGCAAGATTTCATTACTGCAATAATTTTTAAAGTACAATATGTATATACTCTTGGTAATGAATATGTTCATGTATCTGCACGTTTCACTCCCGAATTATTCTATATGAATTATACATTTGAGTTGTTTTTTGTTGCAGTCTCCCCACCAAGTACCAAGAGGAGAGAAAAGGAGGAGAACAAGGAATTTGATGGTTATAACTTCCCACACAGTGTGATCATGAGGGAGACGTTTAACCAGGTGTTTGGTTTACGTGAATTCCGTACTAACCAACTCAAGGCTATCAATGCTGCACTGTTAGGAAATGACTGTTTTATCCTTATGCCTACAGGTATAAAATACAGTAGAACTTCTATATCTCAAACAGTAATATCTGAAATTTTTTTGATATGTCAAGGTGATCTGGAAGTCCCAACACCTTATTCTCTGAGTATTTTACCCCTGATTTCTTGAATCCCCTGATAACTTGAATCCTCTCACTCTGATATCTTGAATCCTATGATATCTTGAATATACACTGATAACTTGAATCCTCTGATATTTCGGAAGTATTTTCTCAGTCTCATCAAGTTTGATGACTGTATTCTGTACTTTACATGTCAGAATCACCCCACTTAAAAGGTCCTTCTTATACTGTACATATATAAACAGATAAATATTAGGATGGTTTCCAAAAAAAATCAATGTACATTTGCAGGTTGAAATATCAGGGGATCAAAGGTCATTGTCTAATTTGTCTTATAACTTAATGACATACATGTATGAAAGTAAACCTTAAATAATGGGCAATGAATGAATGCATTCCTCTCTAAAATAGATTTTGGATTAATTTATCATTAATCTATCTGATCCGTGTTATCCTTCTGATTGTAGGGGGTGGTAAGAGTCTGTGTTACCAGCTGCCTGCCCTGGTGACGGGGGGCGTGTCTATCATTATATCCCCCCTCAAGGCTCTCATACAGGACCAGGTCACCAGACTCTGCTCCATGGATGTAAGTTTAATAAGATCAATTGGATTAGTGGGCCATGACTATAATACAATACTTATTGCATGTTGAGTGTTGACCAGTCTTGAATTTAGAATTTTTACGGGATAGCGTATTGCATAGTGAACATTATGTGTGATTTTGTGAAAAATGGAATACTGTGTATGTATATATTATATGTACTTTAAAAAGTGGGCTTCATATTTTTGCAGTTTGGCATGGACAATGATTCACCAATTAATGAATACCGCAAAGAAATCATTGATTAATGCAATATATTGCACATTAGTGTGTTCTGCTAATTCATGAATATGTGTGCAACTTAATACTAAGTGATTCCACTAAATTTTGAATTCACCAATTTAAGTACACATACAGTAATTTACAGATCGGTAGATAATGTCCTACTTGTTATGACATAAGAATTTTATATTTTTTACAGATACAGGCAGGCCAGCTTTCATCAGACATGGACCAGAGTCAATCTGATCAGATCTACAGAAAACTGTACTACAAAACGCCGGAGATCACATTACTCTATGTCACTCCAGAAAAGGTACGTGTGTACTAAAAAATGACAGAAAAATCTGTGTACACTGATATACAGGAATATATGTATTTTGTTTGACAGTAGAATTGAGATAATGAGGGTTGATTGTAGCTATATCAGATAAGAAATTGATGTTTTGTTTTGTAGATTTCCGCTAGTGGTAAACTGTTGAGTAGTTTGGACAATTTACACAGAAGAGGGAAGTTGACTAGATTTGTTATTGATGAAGCACACTGTGTCAGCCAGGTAAAATTAGCATTCTGAGAAATCTTTCACAATATGCAGACATATTTACCCAGCAAACAAAATCTGTTAAAATAAAACTAGACACAAAGGAATTTATGTGTACTTGCAATTGCAAAATGTAACAAGAGGCCCATGGGCATTATAGGTCACCTGAACATTATGCAACAACATTCCAGTGATTGAATTTGATTCATGTGTTAAGCCAGATGCTATGGCATTCACAATTTTGAAAGAGGCACCATTGATCATCATAATTATACACTTAGCAGTTGCTTAGTTTGGTTACTTAATACACATAGGCAGGGTAGGGGAACAAAAAATACATTTCAACTCATCAGTAATATTCAGCTATAATCAATAGTGCCCCTACCGCACATGAACCCCTGACCCTTAGGCCTAGATCCACACATTGCACAATTTTTGAAAAGGTATCCTTGCTTTTCAAAAATATTTGATTAATACCAAGGAGCAGATTTCAAACCATTCTTTTTTAGTATATAAGTACAGCCCCCCCTCCCCTCTATGGTTCCCCTGACCCTGGGGCCTTGAAATTCACAATTATTAAGACCCTTGCTCATCATAACTATATAGGTAGTTCATCTGCTTAATACCTAGGAGCAGAGAAGAAAATTTTTAAAGATTTAATGTATTTTCATTATATAATCAATAGAGCCCCGCCCTAACACCAGAACCCCTGACCATGGGGCCATAAAATTCACAATTTTGGTAAAGGCACTCTTGCTCATCATAACTATGCACTTAGTTGGTTTATTTGATACCAAGGAGCAGAGAAGAAGATTTTTAAAGAATTCATGTATTTTCACTATATAATCAATACAGGCCCACCCTAACACCAGAACCCCTGACCCTGGGGCCATAAAATTCACAATTTTGGCAGAGGCACTCTTGCTCATCAAAACTATGCACTAAGGCTATCTAAATTTAATTCCCTGGTTCTCAGGCCAATTTTCTCCAAAACAGATGCGGGAGGGCGGCATTTTATTTTTCATTTTATTGGCAATAAAGTAGATGAGGGAGGTTTTTTTTTTTTTTTAATTTCCGAATTTTCTCTAACATAAAGATAATTTTTTTAATCAAAGATATACTTTCCATTTCTGGTCAAAATTTCTGCTTTATCTATTGCTTAACAGCGTGTAAACATCGTAAGTAATGTCCTCGAATGTATTTTCAAACAAAGTAGCCAAAATCTCATTGTAAATGGCTACCGGAAGTGATATTTGAATACTAAACTACGAAACAAATGAGGTCGGAATTTTTTTTCCCGGATTGGTCTCCTCAATACCAACTTATTATTTTATCAAAAATGCAATAAAATCGGCAATGCGGCTACCTCAAAACGGATGCGCGCGGGCCTGAGAACCAAGATTTCAATTTTATATGGCCTAAGTTAGTTTTTTTAATGCTCAGGAGCAAAGAAGAAGATTTTCAAAGAAATAATGCATTTTCACTATATACTTTTTTAGCCCCGCCCTAGCACTAGAACCCCTGACCCCAGGGCCATAAATTTCACATCTTCGGTAGAGGACTCAATGCTGATTAGAATCATGCAAACAGTTTGACTGCTTGATGTCCAGGAGTAAAGAAGAAGATTTTTAAAGATTGCATTAATTTTAGTGGTTTTGGCCCCACCCCAAAGGCCCCAGGGGGCGGGGACCACAAAATTCACAATTTTTGTTCCCCTTCACCCATAGATGCTGTAAACCAAATTTGGTTGAAATTGGTTCAGTGGTTTCAGAGAAGAAGCTGAAAATGTTCAAATGTTAACACACGAAGGACGATGGACGACGGATGACGATGGAAGAAAACGGATAGCAATAGGTCACCTGAGTTTACTCAGGTGACCTAAAAAGGGAAATGAAAAATCTGAGGGAAAATATTCTCTTATTTTCAAATAAATTATCATCAAAAAATCAAAGCCTATGTGTATATGTATGATGAATTGTTTGCCAGGCTATTCACCAGAGAAGTTTAGATAGACTTTGTCTTTGTAGTGGGGCCATGACTTCCGGCCGGACTATAAGAAGCTTGGGGTCCTGAAACAGAAGTACCCAGGAGTTCCTATGATGGCACTCACCGCCACGGCCAACATGAGAGTCCGCAAGGATGTCATCTATCAGCTGGGAATGAAGAATCCAAAATGGTACTTTTAACTTTTAACATTTTTAAGTTTTCAAAAATATTAAAAGGAAAAACATACCTTTTGTACATGTATGTATTTTGATTGCTTTTCCACAGTTTTGTTCAAAGCTTCAATCGCCCAAATTTGAAGTTCCGAGTTGAACCTAAGAAACCGTCAACACTAACAGCAGATGTGACAAAACTGATAAAGGAGCAGTTCCCAGGAAAATGTGGCATTGTTTACTGTCTTTCCAGGTCAGTATTTTGGTTCAAACTGGGGTTCACTGAAAGAACTTTTAAATTCAGTATCTCAAAATAGATTCAAAATTAGCTCAGAAATGAAGTTGTAAAAATTAATTTAAACAACAGTAGATTCATCCTTACCTCAAATATGAATGACTGTCACTTTTCTAGAAATTGTATTAGTAAACATTAATTTTAGGAATGATAGATTCACCATTAACTGAGAAAATAATAACTATTAGAAATTGTAAACACTAAATTTAACAACTCTGGTATGAATATTCTGAGCTTGATCTTAGTCAGCTACAATTTCAATCTGATAAAAATCAGATTCTTTGATCCACTCACATGGATCGCTACACAAAGGACCTGAAGAAACTCCATTCAGGGTCATGTCCTGGTGACCTTTCTATTAAAAATATTCATTAGAATTTTGACCAATCAGAGAGATTGTACGTAGCAAAAGTAGCTGTGAAGAATTTATCATTTCATACAAAACTTTTAAAAAGTGGAATAAAAACAAGGCAAAAGCAAGCTCTTATTATAATTCTGTACAGAAAAGACATCATTCTCTTGGCAGGCTACCGAAACTAGGTCACAGTTTTCCATTCTCGTATCATAGGGGTTTTCACTTCTGCAATAGATTTCTGAGATACTTCTAAATTCATAAGTGATCGATTGATTGGATAATTGAAAGGTCACCAGGAGATGACCCTTAATAGGGTTTCTTTAGATCATTGTGTAGCGATCTATGTGAGTGGATCAAAGGATCTCATTTTAGTTGGTTGCTTCAAATTTAATGTGGATCTGTCTTTAACCTGTTTATAGAAAGGAGTGTGACACAGTCGCTACAGAGCTGAGTAAATCTGGTATCCAGGCTGTATCCTACCATGCAGGTCTCGGTGACAACGACAGAATCTCTATCCAGGAAAAGTGGCTCAATGGACAGCGATGTAAGGTGAGTGACCAGTCAAATTAACAGTGGAGACCCCATCTTCAGTCCTCAATACTTGATATCTTTGTGATATGTCATTATTTATGGCATATTGTGTCAAATATGATTGTCCAATCATATGTCATTCAGAAGTAATCACCAAAATTTTTGGAAAGTTAGGTCAATCGTGAAGGTCAAGGGGTCAGGAATCATGACATGCTCGGAAATATCTTGTCATAGATAATACATGTCAAATATGAAAAGCACTATCTCTTCTCTTTAAAAAGTTATGAGGTAAATATAACATTTGTGAAAAGGTCAAGGTCATGGGGTCAAAAATCACAGTGTATAGAAAGGCCTTGTCACATGTAAAATACATATGAAAGGTAAAAGCCCTATATCTTCTCAATCAAAAGTAATGACCAACGATCAAGTTTTTGATTTAATTTTTGAGAAGTAGGTTAAACTTTAAGGTGAAGGTCAAGTCAAAAATCAAAGTGTATTTAGAAAGGTCTTGACACAGGTAATACACCTGTTTAGTATGAAAGCCATATCTCTTCTCATTCCAAAGTTTTGGCCAATTAAGTGTTGTGTATAAATTTTTGAAAAGGTCGAACTCCAATGTCAAGATCATGGAATAAAAAAGCTTGTGCATTTTAAAAGGTCTTGTCACAGGTAGCCCTAGCACACATAATATGAAAGTCCTATCTCTTCTCATTCAAAAGAATGTAAAGATATGACCAAGGTAAAAGTTTTTGTTACAAATTGACAGACAAACAGATGACTGAGAATTAATGTCACCTCACTTTCGCGAAAATGTGGGACAGTTATATGTATCTCAGTGTAGTCTACTTTTATGGCATGCCAAATTATTTTAAAATCAAGCCAAAACTGTAAGAATTGTTTACAAACAGACAGACAGATGGATAGATGACACGTACTCTTCTGGTCTCTGACCAGCAAAAAAAAATTACATGAACTATAAAATACAAATTTAAATGCATTTTAAAGAGCAGTTGTTGAAGGTATTTAAATCCCATCTAGACCAGGAAGTATAAACACCTGACAGGTAGATAACACAGGTGTGTCACGTGATTAGAGTACATAACAGATAGACTGCAGTTGGAGTTTGATCAACAGGGTGGACACTATTGCTGAAGTCAGGTAAGAAATTCAGAAGTTTTCTGAGCATATGAAAATAATTCTGAAAGTATTGAAAATTCAATATTACAAGCTTTCACTAAGGGGAACAAAATTTCCTTCCTACAAAGCCGTTTATGTATAATATGATGATTTTTCTATCTACATGTTTATCTTTAAAGCTTGTTTATATGTTGGAGTCAGTAAAAATGCATGTTATTATTAAATCCAGTCAATAAATGTATAATCCTTAATTTATTGATTTTTTATGCTTCAGTTCAAAAAAACAATGGACCCCAGTACCAGTGCCCAGGACGTGATGCGATGTGACTTGTGTGAGACTTCTGTGGTTCAAGTGTACTGCAAGACTTGCCATATCAACCTGTGTAGGGCCTGTATGGGAGAACATGTTTTTGATGATCTCTCCAAACCTCATAAAATTGTTGACTTTAAGGACAGGAAATCCACCCTCCTTTACCCTGGATGTACATCTCATGCCAAAGAACAATGTGAAATGTACTGTAAACAATGTGACATTCCTGTCTGTCTTTGCTGCCTTGCATCCAAACACCATTTAGGTCATGAATTTTCTAAAGTCTTGCAAATTGTGGATGAAAAGAAGGACAATATTATAAAGGAAAAAAATGAACTAAATGATGCAATCTACCCTACCTACCAGGACATTGCCTCTGATGTACAGAACAGAATGAGTCAGTTAGAAAAGGAATATGGAGATCTCTCAACAGCCATAACAAAACATGGAGAGGACTGGCACAGAGAAATTGACAAACTTGTCCAGAAACTTAAAGCTGAAGTTGATGAGATGAAAAACACACAGTTACAAACTCTACAGAAACATCTGGATGAAATAAACAAGACAATGTCTGACATCAAGGAAGAAATCAATTCAGTGGAAACTGCAATAGACACCAATGACTTGTCAGAACTATTTAGTTTCAAGTCCAATGTACCTAGATTCATAAATCTTCCACACAAAATAATACCATTGTTACCCAAATTCATTCCAGGAAAAATTCATCAAGAAGAATTAAGTAAATTGTTTGGAGCCTTATCACCAAGTTCTTTAACATCAGATAAAAATGGCTACAGCATGAAGACAACACAGAAATCACCAGAAGCTGGATCCTCTGCTCCAGTCAAACAGATGCTTGATGAACCAGAGACTGTCACCACCATATACACTGGGTATGGAGAACTTTACAAGGTGGCCTGTCTGAGTGATGAAGAAATCTGGACAAGTGGACTTAACAGCACCATGAAACTCTACAGCATCAATCAGGGATCACTACTCAAGTCAATCACAACCAAGTCAGGGAACAGACCATATGACATAGCAGTGACAAAAAGTGGAGATCTAGTTTATACTGATTATAGTAATAGAACAGTGAACATTGTGAAGAATGAGAAGATAGAGGAGGTGATCAGACTACAGAACTGGGGACCTCACGGTGTCTGTAGTACCTCCTCTGGTGACCTCCTGGTTATCATGGACAGTGATGATTATAAACAAACAAAAGTTGTCCGTTACTCTGGCTCCACAGAGAAACAAACCATTCAGTTTGATGATAAAGGTGAACCTCTCTATTTTTTTGATATATATATAAAGTATATAACTGAGAATAGGAACCTGGATATCTGTGTGTCTGACATTGAAGCTAAAGCAGTAGTGGTGGTCAATCAGGCCGGGAAACTGAGATTCAGGTACACTGGACATACTTCTGCTCCAAAGAACAAACCATTTGATCCACTAGGAATCACCACAGACAGTCAGAGTCACATCCTTACAGCTGATAATAGCAATAACTGTGTCCACATCATAGACCAGGATGGACAGTTCCTCCGTTACATAGAATGTGGACTTAGTGTACTCTGGGGACTGTGTACAGATACAAATGATAATCTGCTTGTTGCTCAGATTGGAAACAAACAAGTGAAGAAAATCAAATATCTGCAGTGAAATCTATGACCATTGTTACAGTGAAACATTACAATGATTTATATATAAAATATAATTATACCCCCCGCAAACGAAGTTTAGGGGGGGTATATTGGAATCACCATGTCCGTCTGTCCGTCTGTCTGTCTGTCTGTCTGTCTGTCTGTAGACGAGATTTTGTCCGGACCATTACTCAGAAACTATTGGAAGGATTTGTCTGAAAATTTGTACACATATTATTCACAATATGAAGTTGTGCACCTGATATTTTCATCTTGATTCGATTATTATTTTGAATTTTACAGGTGTTTTTTCATTTTTATTTTGTGGTTTTGTCCGGACCGTTTCTCAGAAACTATTGCAAGGATTAATCTGAAAATTTGTACACTTATCATTCACCAGATGAAGGTGTGCACCTGGAATTTTCAACTCTTTTTGTTAATTTTTTTGCATTTTACAGGTTTTATTTTTTATTTAAATTGACTTGTTCATTTTGGGCTCATGTATAAGGTTTGAGATATAGAATCTAGAATATCTGTTCAAAAATACTACATCTTAAAACTACTCATAAAAACGTAAAAAAAAGAAACATCATCAAGTGTTAAAAACAGTTTTTACATTGCACAGAAGATAATGTAATTTCATTTGTCTCTTGGGAATAATGACTGGACAGTGGACATGCATCCAGTTAAAGATAAATTAATGAGTTTGGTGTTGGAAGTTGTTAAGGCATATCTCTTATCAAGCGTGTGTGTTATCTAATCAGTAATCTCCAGGGAATAAGGCACAAGGATTAAAGATCTCTCTTCTCTTATTCTCTTAATTGTAATTTATTGTCTGTCAAAGCACTTCATTACTGGATGACCGGCTCTTTATTTTCAAAATACATGTCAAATTGATATATCAAGATTAATTTGATTTTGTATTATGTTTTTTTTTAACAATCGGTTTGCAGAGTGACATAACACATCATTGCAATATATTTTTTTAATGCAGAAATTAAAAAAAATAAAATGAAAAAATAAAAAAAAATGTTACAGTGGAATTACAATGTATTAGTATTGATGTTTCATTTGGTTGCACCTTTGTTTCATTCATTAAGAAACATGATGAGCAATTATATTTCACTGCAAATTTTTGTAAGTAAATTGTGAACACCTCTAGATCCATAAAGTATATTTGAATTGGCACCTTCTCTGAAAAACCCAGCGGGGGGTATTTGTCCCTATTGGACAGTTCTAGTTTGAATTCTTTCTAATGTAATGATAACTATTTCCCTCAAAAGAAACACTAAATATAAAGTGCAGAGAGATGAAGGTCTATAATGCTCTTAAATCAAAAATTTTGAATTATTATTGTACAAGTAACAATTAAGAATGTTATGTACCAGTAATATAACAAGTAAATAAACCTTGTACAGTCTACACCGAATTCCTATTTTCACCATTTCTATGATAGAATGAAATTTGAAATTTCAAATGTATGATAGTCTAAGAAGGTGAAAATAACAATGAATGGAAATGTACAGAAACAAAGCATCATGTTGTTACTTTTGTTTTCTAGATTAAGTGATCAATTCTGCAACATACTAAGCTACATGAAATAGTAGTCACTTACACGCATTTAGCAATAAAAAAAAATCTCCAAACTGTAAATAATGAGAAATGTTCAGAGTTTAGTTTATGGATATCAGAATATTTATTTTCCTATTATTTGACTGCATTATACAAATGATAGTTGAATATTTTGGAACATTTTTTGAAACTAATCTTTTTCAAACTTCACTTGACATATTTATAACTCAAAATCTCTTTTACCTCAGTATCACATTGTCAAAATTTGCCAAACCCACTCAAAGGTATGGTCTGTTTGTTGGATTTGACCAATCTTATAATAATGAAAGATATAATTAGTTATATTAGTTATATAATTCTACATAATTGTTTAAATCATGCCCCCTTGGATAGGGTGGGACCACAATAGGTAACACAAGACAAGAAGTATGGTGAAGAACATCAGGGCCAAAAGAGCATTGTGGTCTTGTCTAATTATAATCATATTCCACTGTTGTTTCATTATTTGATAGTCTGTCCATTTGACTGATAGTTGAATAGTCAACTGTACGTTGACACCCCTAAAAAATCAGATACGTTTTATTAATTTGGACAATTTGTTCCAAACCCAAGCACATAGACTCTATATGCATTTTCAGGTTATATGTGCCACCATTGCTTTTGGAATGGGGATTGACAAACCCGATGTCAGATTCGTCATCCATTACTCCTTGCCGAAGTCTGTGGAAGGATTTTATCAGGAGGCGGGTCGAGCCGGGCGGGACGGACTGCTGGCCCACTGTATAATGTACTACACGTACCAGGACGTCAAAAGACTGAGGAGAATTATAGAGAGTAAGTAGGCGGGGGGTCTGTTAGGATTATAGAGAGTAAGTAGGGGGTCTGTTATAATGTACTATACATACCAGGATGTCAAAAGACTGAGGAGGATTATAGAGAGTAAGTAGGGGGGTCTGTTAGGATTATAGAGAGTAAGTAGGGGGTCTGTTATAATGTACTATACATACCAGGACGTCAAAAGACTGAGGAGGATTATAGAGAGTAAGTAGGGGGGTCTGTTAGGATTATAGAGAGTAAGTCGGGAGGGTCTGTTATAATGTACTACACGTACCAGGACGTCAAAAGACTGAGGAGGATTATAAAGAGTAAGTAGGGGGGTCTGTTATAATGTACTACACATACCAGGATGTCTAAAGACTGAAGAGGATTATAGAGAGAAAGTAGGGGTGTGTGTTATAATGTACTACACGTACCAGGATGTCAAAAGACTGAGGAGGATTATAGAGAGTAAGTAGGGGGGTCTGTTATAATGTACTACACGTACCAGGATGTCAAAAGACTGAGGAGGATTATAGAGAGTAAGTAGGGGGTCTGTTATAATGTTCTACATGTACCAGGACGTCAAAAGACTGAGGAGGATTATAGAGAGTAAGTAGGGGGGTCTGTTATAATGTACTACACGTACCATGACGTGATATTTTATTTACATGTATGAGGGTCATTATATAAGCTGTACATATTGGAAACATGTTTGATTTTGTTCAAACAACCACATTTTGACTTTAAATCTTAAATATTGAGTATGTTTTGTTTCTTCACAGTGGATCAGGCAGCCACATTTGATTCCAAGAGAGTTCACATAGACAACCTCTTCAGAATGGTACAGTACTGTGAGAATGTGGCTGACTGTCGACGATCACAGCTGCTTAATTACTTCGGAGAGCGAGACTTTAATCGAGAGGAGTGTGGGAATTTCCGTGGAGCTATTTGTGACAACTGTGTGTCCAAGGTTATTTTTATTCTTTGTTTTTGTTTTAATTTTTGTATACATGTACCTGCTACATGTGTAATAGTTTATGTTACTGTAAGCATGGGTTCTTAATAGAACTGGCTCCACGTGAGAACAGTACCTGATATAACATCAGAATTCTCAAAATTGACAATATAATGTTTACTTTTATCTGAATTTTTACTCAACATATTTCACAGTGCTTCATTTCATTCCACATTGCAAATGTTAATAGTTTTTCTGATATTTAAAAATGATATAATTTTGGAGGGTTTGCATCTACAGTTTTGGATGATTAAGCAATTTCTTATATTTTAAGGAATCCTTCCAACTCCGTGATGTCACAGATGATGTCAAGGAGATTGTGAAATGTGTGAAGGATCTGACAGTCAATGGAAGACGGGGAAACGACTACACCCTTATCTACTTTGTGGATATATTTAGAGGTATACCCTTATCTACTTTGTGGATATATTTAGAGGTAAAGAAAGATTACGGAGAATCCTTCTTGGAGACCATTTGTAGTCACTGTGGAAACCATTGTAGTGGAACCTCATTAATCATCAATCTTGTGTTAGAGCAAATTGTCTCTATTAATGAAATATCTGGATTAATAAAACATATATGTGTTTTAATAGTTTGAATTCTGTTACCTACAAATTTTGTCTGGAAAGCTAAGTTTCTGGATAACCGAGATTCATTTTTTTTTTTTTTACTGTTATGTGATTATTTCTAGTATTACTTTTAAAGATAGCAAAGTGTTGTCAACATTACATTCAGTTAATTTTAAAGTAAAATCCCACACCAACTTTACCACTGTTTAATCCATATTCAAACATAATTATGTATTTACTTTAGTTTTGTCACCAATATTTGCATTTTGTTAAGTGCATACTATACTTTATGATAATAATGCAAACCAAATTTACATTTCAAGGAGCTAAAACTGGTAAAATTTCTGATGCTGGACATGACAGGATACCCCTTCATGGTCGTGGTAAAAATTACAGCAGGGCTGATGCTGAAAGACTGCTGAGAAAATTGGTTATCGACGCCATTTTACACGAGGATCTAAAAATTACTGCGGCAGATACCACGGCTTGTTATATCAGACTCGGACCTAAAGCCAATGATGTGATGATGGGAAAACGCAAGGTAATATCTTAATAGTACATGTATTAGGCCATATAAAATTGAAATCTTGGTTCTCAGGCCCGCGCGCATCTGTTTTGAGGTAGCCGCATTGCCGATTTTATTGTATTTTTGATAAAATAAAAAGTTGGTATTGCGGAGACCAATCCGGGAATTCCGACCTCATTTGTTTTGTAGTTTAGTATTCAAATATCACTTCCGGTAGCCATTTACAATGAGATTTTGGCTACTTCGTTTGAAAATACATTTGAGGACATTACATACGATGTTTACACGCTGTTAAGCAATGGATAAAGCAGAAATTTTGACCAGAAATGGAAAGTATATCTGTGATTAAAAAATTATCTTTAAGTTAAAGAAAATTCGGAAATTTAAATTTAAAAAAATACCTCCCTCATCTACTTTATTGCCAATAAAATGCCGCCCTCCCGCATCTGTTTTGGAGAAAATTGGCCTGAGAACCAGGGAATGAAATTTTGATAGCCTTATGTAAAGAGGAATATATCGTCTTATTTAAAAAATCAACGTTAAAGTGATTTCATATATGGAATGCAGATATTCTAGAAAATGTACATACAGGTATATAGATGCTTTGATTTTTCTACCCTCATTGGACATCTTAAAGATTTTTATACCCCCCGCAAACGAAGTTTGGGGGGGGGGTATATAGGAATAATCTTGTCCGTCCGTTTAGCTGTCTGTCCATCTGTCTGTGCAAACATGTCTGGTCCATATCTTTCTTACAGAAGAACATTAGAATCTACTACTCCTCACAAAGATTGCCCATGACCTAAGGATGTGTCATGACCTTGACCCAAGGTCATTTGCAGAAGTTCAAGGTCACTGAAAGAAAAATTTCATAATTTGTGTCCGGTCCATATCTTTCTTATGGATAAACATGTTAAGTTCTTATTTCACACAAAGATTGTCCATTACTTAAGTGTGCCATGACTTTGACCCAAGGTCGTTTTGGGAAGTTCAAGGTCACTGGAAGACAAATTTCATAATTTGTGTTTGATCCATATCTTTTTAATGGATAACCTTGGTATGTTCCTATTTCGCACAAAGATTCCTCATGACTTAAAGGTTGACCCAAGGTCATCTGTGCAAGTTCAAGGTCACTGAAAGAAAAATTGTATAATTCATGTTTGGTACATATCTTTATAGAAAAACTTGAATTTACTATTTCACACAAACATTGCTTCTAACCTGAGGTTGTGTCATGACTTTGTACCAAAGTCATTTATGCAAGTTCAGGGTCACTGACATAAAAAGTTAATAATTTGTGTCTGGTCTGTATATTTAGTCTTCTATCTTATTAGGCTGTGCCTTCGTTTCATTTATAAAAAAATATAATGAGCAACTACATTTGCACTAAAAATGTTTTCGCATTTCTCTCTTTTCTTAGATGCATAATATATTCATGATTAAGTGCCTCTAAAAAAAAAAACCCAGCGGGGGGTATTTTGTCCCGTTTGGACAGTTCTAGTTCTCTTTCCTATCAAGTTCAAAAAATGAGGTTTTACTGTTATTGTATTGCAAGCAACATGTTAAATTAATTCATTATTAACGAAAGTATAGATGACATTTACACCCTTTCTATTTTCTTTCTGGAAATTGATAAATTCAAATTTACAGGTAGAGTTACAGGTACAGGGCAGTAGGAAGAAAACTGAAGTGGCTAAGATTGGTAAAGAACCCGTCAGTAAACATGAGAACGTGATCGAAGAATGTCTCAACGAACTGCTAGAAATGGCAAAGACAATCGGTAAGGTTGACTGTCAGTGGTACATCTAAATTAATTTTTTTGTACTTTCCCTATTCCATTTTGTTGATAAGATTAAGCATAAAGATCTTAATATTTTACAGCTGCTGAGCATGGTCTACGTAACTATGCAACTGTTTTCCCGATTTTAACACTGCGGCAGTTGGCAGAAAAGACTCCACTAACTGTAGACGAGATGACGGCAAGTATCGATGGTTTGCCGAAAGCCAAAGTCAACAAATATGGAGCTGAGAGATTCCTTGAAATCACCAAGAATTATAATCTTATCCTATCAAGTAAGTTATTTACGCTTATCTGCATATTCCAAGTTTTGACAATAGTTTTCGAATTGTGTCATAAATGAGGAGGATTTTGAATTGAAAATGCTTTTTTGTAAGACTTTAAAATATTTCCAAAAGAAAGACAGCATTGTAAAATAAAAATCTAATTAAATTGTTTTATTGATGTTTCCTTCATATTTAGTTTAACTAAACTTCTATATTCTTTAAATGATCTCCATTAATCTTACTTAGTTTGCTTTATCTCCCTTTTATAACTTTATTGATCTCCATTTACCGTATTTGGCCGAGTATAATACGCATTGATGTAAAATACGCACCCCCCTTTTTGAGTCTGAAACTGGGGAAAAAAACGCAGTTCGGATGTATTATACGCAACAGAAAAATTTACCAAGCGATGTTCTGAACTTTGAAAATCGCGGTAATTTGTTACGAAAATCGGCGCGAGGATTAAGTGTAAAAAATTTACTGAACACACTTTTTTTTTAAATACACACTTTATAACTTCTCTTAATCCTGACATTCCATATCGCGGCAATATGGAGAAAATTATTTATTCATTTATTTCAACAAAGTACAAGATAATATTGCGTAAAAGTATTAACAGATTTTTTAAAAGAATAGTTACGGTGATTTTGAAATAATGTGTCGCCATATTCTTAAATGAAATATTTTTATTTCAACAAAGCAAGAGATATTGTCGAAAGTTTTATCAGTTCTCATATTTAATTTTGGTTCAAGATAATCATGCTGAAAATTATCTTACAATATTTTAACAGGAAACGAAATTGAAACATCAAAGTATTTATTTCTTTAAGTAGACTACGATTTTCCTCTTCTAAATCTTCGCGGATATCTTATTTTCTAAATGATACCACTTTTATTAAAAGTTTTAGCATAATTTATATTTCATTTGTCAACTCTCAATTATTTAAACAAGAGGCCGATAAGTATAAGATAAGGTAAAATTACATTTAACAAGTGTTTAATTGTTTAAAGTGCCGTAATCAACACATGCTCACCATGCTCACACATACGAAAGGTCATAAACCGACCCCCTTTTTAACAAAGAAAATAATCAAAGCAATTAACATGGCAGTAAATAATCAGTGCTGTAACTGTAAAAACATTGCTTTGGAGTCGGTAGACAATTAATTGCCCCGAGGGGTGTTGATAGGTAATTATCATTTGACAAGCGCACGTGTGTCACAACATTGGCTTCCTTTCATGGGGACGTATGGAGGGGTGTTAAATATTGTTGCAGATTATCAATGAGTTATTTTAAACCTAAAATTAATATTTATTTTAATGTATTTCATTAAAAAATGATTTATTACTTTGTCTGGCAGATAAGGTGCATGTGCACTATCATTACGGAAACACGTGACATAAGCATGAGTTAACGTCTAAAAATAACATCGGTAATGGCGGCCTCCTCGGAGACAATCAACATGCAGCTCAAATTACTTTTAACTTACTTTTTCATGTTATTTCGGTATCAAAAGATTGTGAAAGTGACATTTTTAAGAAGCATACCTTCCAACAATAACTTTCCGAAGTTTAAAATATGGCAATAAACAAAAGAAATTGCATATGTCTCTAGGTAATACTACGGTATGTACGTATGATAGCCGTGTTTCAGCTGAAAGAAAAACTTGTCAAAATCCCATTGTGATGTAAAATATGCATCCCTTTCTCACAGTAATTTATTTTAGGAAAAAAGTGCGTATTGTATTCCCCGAAATACGGTATATTTGATCTCTCTGTTTGGTGTTATTGATCTCCCTTTATACTCTTTGATTGATCTCCCTTTGTGTATTTGATTAATCTCTCTTTGTGTATTTCATTGATCTCCCTTTGTATATTTAAAGCAGTATGAGCTGTATCTTTGAAAATTTTATTTTGCTGGTAAAATGTGCTTTTATGATTAATTTGTACGTAATTTAAACCCTTATGACCAATAAGCCCAAAATAAAGTTTAAAATGTTTCAGAAGAAATATTTCTTTTCAACCGAATATACAGTTTTATATAAGAAATCATTATTGTACAGGACGACAATAATTCAATTTTGCTTCAATCAAAGCTAATTAAAAAAATTCTATCGCAAATATGAACAACAGAAGTTTATAAATGATTTATTTTTCTGTCATTAAATTAGTTAATTACAATTTTGCAATAAAATTTTCCGATGTCAAACATGCAGCTCATATTGCTTTAATTGATCTCCTTTTATACTCTTTGATTGATCTCCCTTGGTTCTCTATGAATGATCTCCCTTTGTACCCTATGAAATGATCTCCCTTTGCACTCTTTGATTGACCTCCCTGTATTTCTTTTCATTGATCTTCCTTTGTACTCTATGATGTGATATTCCTTTGTGCCCTATGATTGATATCCCTGAGTACATTAGATTGATCTCCCTTTGTACATATGATTGATCTCCCTTGGTACAGTGTATATTTGATTGATATCCCTTTGTACCTTTTGATTGACCTCCCTTTGTACATTTGATTGATCTCCCTTTGTACATTAGATTGATCTCCCTTTGTAGATTTACAACAAGAGGAGGAGGAGGTGGAATCAGATGTTCCGGAGTGGGAGTCTCCCTACTTTGTAGACGAGTCAGCAGGTTCATCTAACACAGGCAGAAAGAGGGGCTCCTTCAAAAAGGTACTTCTACAATATCACTGATTAGTTGCATTAATTTACTTATTCTCAGTATTTTAGCATGTTCCAAGTTCAACAGCTGTACATTTTAAATAATTTGTTTGATGAGATTTCATTTAATTAATTATTATTAAACTCTTTTACTTCGAAGATAGGTTTTGGAAAAAAGAAGAGAGGTGCTAGAAGCCAGTCAGGTTCAGGGAATTCTGGGTAAGAGACAAAAACCAGGAAGGGGCAAAGGGATGTTCAGTGGAGTGCCCATCTTGCATTGATTGATACTTTGAATCTACTGTCAAATCAAGCCTAGTAAAGTCTTGTAAAGTCTTGAAAAATTCTTGATATGAAAGTCTAATAGGGAGCGCAAGCCCTTAACAATGCCTGTGCAAAGAGAAAATTCAGACTACTGCACATTCATTCGATAGAATTTTTAGTAGTAATTTGAATGCACAATGTATCACTTCGTACACAAAATTTATAGCAATGTTTTCGCCAGAATAATAGCAAAAGTTAAACGAATAATAAACTTGCCTTGATTTAATGAATTAATTGCAGATGAATAGTCAATAAAATAATTCTCCATTAAAATCAATCCTGTTTATGCTTTGGTTTGGTAAAGCAACATGCATATGACGTCAGAGTCCTAGACGCACTGAATGTCATGTGCGGTTTGACAAGCCCGATCTAAAGATTTAAGAGGCAGTCCATGGAAAAACCAGGCAGCATTGTATTAATAGGCGGCACATCGAATGTGAGGAATATTTGGTATTTTATTAAAAACAATATCAATGTAGTCCAAAAGGAATAATGTAACTGAAGATTTGTTCGAAAATTGCTTATTTAGTAAAATATCCTTATGTTTTGTGTTTTTGAATTCCCCTATATAAACCATTGAAAGTAGGTAAGAAACAAAGAGCTGTAATTTCTAATACAATTTTAACAGGACTATAATTCACACTTAAATAAATGTAGAAATTTTTCATCTTTTTGTTTAAAAAATAAAATCATTGGGAAAAACACTTTTAATAGAAGTTTTCTGGCAAAATATATAGACGTTTTTATGAAAATTTGCGATTCAAGAGTTATCTCCCGTGGCATCGGTAAATCTGCTAAACACATTTTAATCGGAATCCTAGAGAAATATTTAGAATAGATACACCAAAGAAATTATTAAACAAAAAATAAATAATTTATTTTCAAAATATAATTTATTTTCGCCTCCAAACATAATATTTAGATTAAAATTTACTATAATATTAGGTTAAATCCACGTTTCCATTGATGTATCAGTGACGTCATAATATTGCGTCACAATGAAATAGTTACAAGTTTTCCAAAGAAGTTCGTAAATTCTTTGCGTAAAGTGTAAAGAAAAATATTTTTAAAAAGAATGATTTATTTTTTCTGTTTAATTATTCTTCAGGGTGCATTATACTAAATGTTAAATAATATTTTAATTTCAAAATGTATTTTACACAGTACACGGGCAGCGTCTCAGCAAGATGACGTTTTGATAAGTAATTTTATACATGTCCGAGAACTAATTTTTTAAAATTGATTTACCAGGATATGCGTTTAAATAATTAATGAAGTGTTCATAATGAACATTTCTTATAAAATTGGGAATCAATGATGAATGTTTTAGATTTACGCAACATTTAATTAAACGAAGTTGGTAGATATAAAAACTAAAACTTCAATACATTTATCTATGCAATCAAATCAAAATAAACGATCTACAGTTCGATTGAAAATGAAAAAAAAACTGAAAAATAAGTTACCAGGGTATAAAGATACATCTATTTACTGCCGAACTCCCGACTATAATTTGGCACTATAACGGAAGGTGGTTTAGTGAAATGTTTTAATTTTTTTTGTTTTTTAATTTTATTTATTTATTTTTATTCGGCGATTGAAACAATCACACGCTCATATTTAATATGGAGTATAAACCTGTGACTATGTTGACCAATACTAAAATGTTTTCACGTTCATGAAACCAATTTTTAAAAATAATGATGCCATGACCCCGCACCCCCCCCCCCCTTCCGCGCTTCTTGCTTGCGATTTATCGGCTCTTGAATAATCATACCATACATGAAAGAACTTATTTTCTTATTTATATAAAAATCAAATTTTGTAAAAGAGGAAAAGGCTTTACAGATGACAGATAAGAAAACACTTGGATAAAGTCGAGACTGTACACATAAAAATATTTCTTGCATTTAGGCAATTTTAATTTCGCTACTTATAGAATTTACTCTTTAATTCCTGAGACAAATAAAAAAGAAATTTTACTTGGAAATAAGATGAATAATGAAGCTAGAAAGTTGTCTGCTCTGGTTGTTGCATAATGCATGCACAAATACTTTTTTAAAAATACCTAGTATCTATTTAAAGAAAGCAATCAGATCAGATGTTTTACATGTAATCTTCATGTAAGTAAAAGTCTTTTGTAATTCAAATAATACATACATTTGAATCTATGGTTACACTCATTTAAAAACAGTAAACTGACTGAAAAGAAATAACAGACAAGCATTTTTTTCTGATAAATTAACATGAAGAGCCAAATGTAGGAAATTTTTCTAAATTTACGGTAAAAACCGATCCCGATTGAAATAAAACCGATCCCGATCGAAAATAATGCAAAGTTAATAAATTTATCAAACTAAAGGCACCTGTCACCTATATAATATGTTAAAAAATAAATCAAGTAATATCTTAATCATATTACAACAAAAGAGCCAAATTTGACATTACTATCTTAGTATTTTCTTATTTATACAATTCCGGTCGGGATCGGTTTCATTTGTGAAAACTATAAAAAATAAGTAAATTTGACTCCTTTTATTTCTTTCAAAATACATTTTCCCAATGATTTTATTGAATGACCCAAAAGTTTGTACTTTGTATTCATAAAAACATAAGTAAACAAATATGTTCTTGTATTGTATTGGGTTTTATAATGTAATTAAAATTGGATACTGAATTTAAACATTTACTTGCTAATCTCAAATTTGGACCAGATAATTTTTTCTAAAGAAGTAAAAATTGGAGTCTTATTCATTCATAAAATAAAAGATAAAAGTATATTCTATAAATAATATTCATCGGCACATCCACCTTTGGAGTATCTGTTACATATAAAACAAAATAAAAAAGTAGTATTTTTTTTACCCTCATGTTGACCTTTTTGCACTTAAAATTAAGCATTTACCAAAACTAGGACTAGAGAAGCACTATAAATTTTTTTGATGTTGTCATATGTGAACACTTGCTTTAATAAGTCCACATGCAATATATAATTAAAATCCATGACATGCGATGTGCCACCTATTGCCTGGTTTTTCGGTGGACAGCCTCTTAACTGAATAAGTCTCTGTGTTAGCACTAATGGTCGCACAGTCAACATATTATACATTTTAAAATGAACACTAAATGTATTTAATATTTTTATGCCCCGCCATGAATATGGCCGAGGCATATAGTGTTTGTCATGTCCGGCTTCTGTCCTTCCGTCACACTTTGCATTTAGCTCTGTTCAAAGCTTAGTTTCAAAGAAACTATCCAAGATATTTTCATCAAACTTCATTTGCTGATAGATATTAGAGAGGTTTAGCAAACCAACGTGTACGCGTACGTGTACGTGTATCACCAGAAATCTGTGCATTACGTCATCACTTTTGCTAATGACGATTTTCTACACGTATCCTCTTACACAGGTTACGTGTAGATTGCAAAGTACACGTAAGTCTAAACTTGTAGCTTATAATTCTTTAACTGATGTTTATTTTTCAAAAAGTGTGCTATTTTCTAAAACCTGAAAACAAGAAAAATAATGTTAACGTGTACGTGTAATTCTAACTTGTAGTTTACATGTACAGGTACACGTACAAGTGAGCTTGCTAAACCTCTCTATTGATGAGAGCTATGCAACTGCATCAAAATTTTTTGACCTTGACCTTTCCTTTCACCTTGACCTCACTTTTCTTAAATTAGTGTTTAGCTCAATTTTAAACATACCATTCAAGATGGTGTTATCAAACTTCACATGTTGATACAAACTTGCACAGATGATGCATCTAGGGATGAACACTACCAGAATTGCTTCTGATGCTGGATCTGACCTACATTTTCCGGATGGTTGACCAGGTTAAAGTTTTTGGAGCAGGTCCATTCCTAAGGAACTATAAGCCCTACTTGAACCAAACTTGCATAGATGATGAATATAGAGATGGACACTACCTAACTTGCTTCGGATGCTGGATCTGACCTATATTTTCATTCCCAAGTTACTATAAGCCCTACCTAAACCAAACTTGCATGGATGATGCATCTAGGGATGGACACTACCAGACTTGCATCGGATGCTGGATCTGACCTATATTTTCATTCCCAAGCAACTATAAGACTTACCTGAACCAAACTTGCATTGATGATGCATCTAGGGATGTACCAGACTTGCATCGGATGCTGGATCTGACCCATATTTTCATTCCCAAGTAACTATAAGCCCTGCCTGAACCAAACTTGCATGGATGATGTATCTAGGGATAGACACTACCAGACTTGCTATGGATGCTGGATCTGACCTATATTTTCCAAACAAGTTTTATACACATACAAATTTTCATGTTGCTTTACTAATATATCCTCAGCGGGGCATTCATATCCTATGGACATATTTCTAGTTTTATTTACAACGAATCTACTAATATTTGCAGGGGATTTTCTGACAAAGGGAGCAAATTTGCAGCCTACAAGTTCTCCAGAGGGTCATCCAAGAAGGTCCAAAGTGCTGGAAAAAACCAGAGGGGTGGATCAAGCAGTTCCAGGGGTGGTTCCAATAGTTCCAGGGGTGGCTTAGGATTTATGCCAGTCCCACAACCTAAGCGATCATTTCTGGGTGGTGGGGCTGGTACTTACTTTTAAATATGAAGGGAATAAACATTTATTTAAGAAAGTTGATTTGAATTAAATTGTAAATAAAGCAATTTCTAAACCACTATTTCGAGCGTTTTCTTGTCTGTTGGGGTGTTTTCCTGATTTTGATTGAGAATTTGAAACTTCAACAGTTCTTTGAGAGATTTATATTATACCAAATACTCTTTATGTAAATGTAAGCTTCTTAGAGGAAAAAGTCTTAGGTTCTCTAAATGAAATATAAGATAACAATAAGTAACCATGTTCAAAGGTCCATCAAAACTATACAAATCAGGAGCAAATGAGACATGAAAGAAAAAAAGAATGGATCAGGTGCAAAACATATTCTGTACACCTGGCACACCAGTCACCTACCTTGTGCTCCTTTTCATGATTGGCCATATGTTTGGATTTGCTTTTGTTCAAATCTGATGTCAACTTAACTGTTTATCCCGCATCTGTCAGCGCCATACATAATTTTTCGTCTCAGTTTTCTCAGCAACTACTCATTGCAGATGCTAAGGCATGCTATATGGTGGTTCATTTTTGTTTAAATCCAATGTCATCTATTTATCCATGCATCTGCCTGTAACTATACCTGTGTATATTCACATTATATAGTGTATACCGGTATTCACATCAAATTGGGGGTTTTACTAGTGAGTATTAACTCACAGACTTTTAATTGAAAGCATAATTAATTTGTTTATTTATTCTGATCTGATTTCTACAGCTTTGTTTAAGGCTTCAAATGCCTAAATTTGAAATTTTATGTTGAACATATTGAGAAACTGGCTCCTCTAACAGCTGATACCATAAAACTGATAAAGCAGATCCCAGAGAAATGTGGCTTTGTGTATTGTCTTTCCAGGTCGGTATTCTGTTCGAAGCTGGTGTTCACTGAAAGGACTTTTACCATCAGATACTTGCTGTATACAGGGAAATTTTTGTCCCCGTTTTATTTTCACCCTTTTCACAATTGGGCGAATTTAAAACGGGATGAATTAAAGACCACAGTATTAATTCTTAAACAGAACTGTGACTGGGCGAATTTAAAACGGCAAAATTGTTAGCAAATGTAAAATTGCGAGAGAAAAAAACTGGGCCAAAATAACCCTGTATACAGTACTACTTATAGATTTATCAACTCAGAAAGCAATGGCTTTACTAGTTTAAACACGAATTTTAATAACTCTAAGCTTAATCTGAGTGAACTCCAATTTTCAACATAGATCTGATTTTATAGAAAGGAGTGTGACACGGTAGCTACAGAGCTGAGTAAATCTGGTATCCAGGCTGTATCCTACCACGCAGGTCTCAGTGACAATGACAGAATCTCTATCCAGGAAAAAATGGCTCAATGGACAGCGATGTAAGGTGAGTGAGCAGTCTAATACCTCCTCCTCCTCTATCCCTTCCCCACCCACCCTCCCAACTCACGGGGAAAAAATCAGTGAAAAGTGAAAACCCCAAATCTTATCAAAAGTTATGACGAAGGTTAAAGATTTTAGAAGTACGTCAAACTTCAAGGTGAAGGACATATAAAAGATCAAAGACAGTGTATTTAGAAAGGTCTTGTCACAGGTAAAACACATGTTTAGTATGAAAGCCACATCTCTTCTTAATTATTCTAAGTTTTGGCCAATTTAGAGTAATGTATAAATTTTTGAAAAGGAGGTCAAACTCCAAAGTCAAGGTTAGAGGGTGAAAAATCTTAGTGCATTCAGAAAGGTCTTGTCACAGGTCATACTTAATATGATATGTAATGTGAAATTCATATCTCTTTTCATTCAAAAGATATTACCAAGGTAAAAGTTTTTCTTACAAACTGACAGATGGACAGACAAATGAGATTTAATGTCCAGGGGCTCCGCTTTTGTGAAAGAGAGGGGCAATTATGTATCTCAGTGTAATCTTCTTGTTTGCCAAATTGTATCAAGATCAAGCCAAATTTCTAGGAATTGTTAATAGACAGACAAACAGATGGAACTCTTCTGGTCTCTGACAAGAAGAGCTAAAAATCACATGAACTATAAAATAGATGTTAGTTCCTGTCCCCCGCTTTTGCAAAAGTGGGGGGACAATAAATCTCATTTTATTTTCAAAGAGTGTTGTTGAACATGTTTAGGTATTTAAATGTCTATCTGGACCAGGAAGTATAAACACCTGACAGGTAGATAACTAGGCCTTTCAACTAATAGTCTCGTTCAACCAGACCTTCGGCTGTCTCCGTAAATCTCCGACCACCCAGAGGGTCTGGTAAACATAGACCTAAAACGTGGTAAAGAATCACGTTAGCGTTTGTAACCGTCAGAGGGCGCTATCTTGTTTTCATTTTGACGATCCTTTTTGAAAACAAATGTTATATGTGTTTCTTCTCCTGGATTGTGACTTTATATTAATAATCTAATCTTTAATTTGGGACACCAAACGATAACTTACAATATCAATCGAAGGAATGTGTATTACGCAGGTAAGGGCTACACTACTTTCACTTTTGCTTTCGTACAGAACCTATAACTGGTGGGCATTACCGTAAACAATGAACCATGTATATGTAATATGTAAATGCAACAATTGATCATCGTATTTGTGTTACTAAGCACGAAGGGGAAAGACCGAGTATAGATAGTTTTCATATGACCTAATTTTAGCAAAAGTTAGCTCCCGTTGGCCGCCATACTGGAGGTCCAAATGCTCATATTCCTTCATTGTTCAACCAATTTAAAATTTTTATATTTGCGATTTTGAATTAGGAATCATTATTTTTCTGAAGTATATAAATTTTTGGAAGCTCCTTTATTAAGAAAAAATTATTTAATAAAGATATTCTACCAAATATTTCTGCTATATTTTCTTAAACTTGGTACGACAAAGAGGAAAACTCACCGTGTCGACCTCCAATATGGCGACCAACGGGAGGTAACTTTTGGTAAATTTGGGTCCATCGAAAACTATCTATAAAAATTTTAATTATATGCAGTAACCGGTGTCCGCAACTATACAGTAAATAAGTTTAACATTGGTGCTAAATTTTAAAACCACTGGATTCTACTGAGAGCAAAGAAACACTTGGGAAATCCTAAAAACTGCCTTGCGTGAAAACGGTTAGATACCCCGAGCCTGCTCTAAACTTTTTAATGATGTAATATTTAAAGTATGCATAAGTTATTATCTTTTTTGATAATTTCATGTACCTATAAATCTATCTATACAATGTTTTTTACCATTTGTGCAACTTGAAAAATTTGTTGAATAGTCTCGTAAAACAATGTTCAACCAGACCCTCGGCTGTCTCCGTAAATCTCCGACCACCCAGAGGGTCTGGTATCGTTTGTAACGCCAAAACGAGGCTTACCGAAATTCTGGTAAAGTTTTTGATTGGTTGAAAAGAACACACCTACACGATTTAAATAAATACATGATAAATCAGCAGAAAAATAACTTGAAGATGTAAAAGTTATATGTCTAAAAGTTAAAGCTGTTAGATATAAATTGTTTGGACACTAATGACTTGTCAGAACTATTTAGTGTCATGTCTAGTGTACATAGATTCATAAATCTTCCACACAAAATCATACCATTGTTACCCAAATTCATTCCAGGAAAAATTCATCAAGAAGAACTATGTAAATTAATTGTTTGGAGCCTTACCACCAAGTTCTCTAGCAACAGAAAAAAATGGCTACAGCATGAAGACAACTAAGAAATCACCAGAAGCTGGATCTTCTCCTCCAGTCAAACAGTTGCTTAATGAACCAGAGACTGTCACCACCATAAACACCACTGGGTATGAACTTGACAATGTTGCTTGTCTGAGTGATGAAGAAATATGGACAAGTGGAAATGACAACACCATGAAACTCTACAGCATGAATCAGGGATCACTACTCAAGTCAATCACAACCAAGTCAGGGAAGTGGCCATCTGACATAGTAGTGACAAAAAGTGGAGATCTAGTTTATACTGATACCATAGAAAGAACTGTGAACATTATGAAGAACGAGAAGATAGAGGAGGTGATTAGACTACAGAACTGGGGACCTAAAGGTGTCTGTGGTACCTCCTCTGGTGACCTCCTGGTTATCATGGACAGTGATGATTGCAAAACAAAAGTTGTTTGTTACTCAGGCTCCACAGAGAAACACACCATTCTGTTCGATGATGAAGGTAAACCTCTCTATCCTTTTAATAGCTTTAAAAGATATATAACTGAGAACAGGAACCTGGATATCTGTGTGTCTGACTTGGGAGGGAAAGCAGTAGTGGTGGTCAATCAGGCCGGGAAACTGAGATTCAGGTACACTGGACGTACTCCTGCTCTAAAGAACGAACCATTCAATCCAATAGGAATCATCACAGACAGTCAGAGTCACATCCTTACAGCTGATTATGGCAATGCCTGTGTCCACATTATAGACCAGGATGGACAGTTCCTCCGTTACATATACTGTGGACTGAGTGATCCCTGGGGACTGTGTACAGATACAAATGATAATCTGTTTGTTGCTCAGTATACAAAGAAACAAGTAAAGAAAATCAAATATCTGCAGTGAAATCTGTGACCATTATTATATTGAACAGGACAATGTTTTGTTTATAAAACTGTATCATTAATTATAATTTACTCAAAGATAATGATAACCTTTTCCACAAAAGAAACATAATATAAAGCAGTGAAGAGGTTAAGATCTGTAAAGCTCTTTTAAAATTAAAATCTCTGCATTATAATTGTATAGGTAAAGAGAAATTGATGTACTTGTAATATAACAAATAAATTGCTTGTACAGTCTACACTTAATTCTTATTTTTCATGATAGAATGAAATTTGAAATTTAGAGTAGATGCATGTGTTACACTATACATGTAAGTTTAAAATGTATGAAAGTCTAGGAAAGTAAAAAAAATAACAGTGCGGGAATGCTAGAGAAACAAAATATTGTGTTGTTACTTTTGTTTTCTAAAATAAATGATCAATTCAGCAACATACTTAAACTACATGAAATAGTTGTCACTTCAAAGAATTTAGTCCCCCCCCCCCAAAAAAAAATTCTCTAAACTGTATATCAATAGAAATGTTCACACCTATTCTCACATAATCCGTCCACATTCAGCCTGACTTTCATTAAAAAATAAAGTTTTTAATTTGGGGAGAAGTCGATGTTTTTAAACAAACAAAACATTGGAGAATTATTTTTTCAAAATATTAGAACCTAATCATGCACGATAACAAAAATATTCAATAAGTAATATAGGTAGTGTATTTTCCTTTGTAATTTACGGTATTTTCTTAGGTCGATTTGACCCCCGCAAAAAATCTTTTTATTGCCGAAATGAATGTTTAATTTCATATTTTTTTTTTTAGAGCTTTGTCTGTGTTAAAAAGTATTTCAAAAATTTTGCTTTTGTGCAAATGTTTTTCTCCTAATTTGTAATTAACGAATGTTGTTTGCTTTAATCTTATTTTTCAACTGAAATAATTCTATTCTTTTTCGTTAAAGATTTTTAAACTGAATTTCGGTGCGACTTAATTTTTATGTTTTTGAATCCTGAAGAGAAAGGGATTTTAAAAATTTACTTTGGTAAGAAACTGTGAAAATCTAAATCATTTCTCTTAAAGAAATATACTGATAACGTAAATTAAAATTCCATTGATATTCAAACCAAAAATTAATATTTTCTTGAACTTATTTCCACCTTTCTAAATGACATACAGTATTTTTAAACACCCATAAAATGCCACAAATACTGATTATTTTTCATTCTTTTCAGAGATTTACAGTTAGATATAATGATAACGCAAGATCTGCCGTTAGAATGTATTTTTCCTTAATTTTTCTAGATAAGTCTCTCCCTATTTTATCTTCTTTAAGGGGAGACAGGACACATGTCACATGACTAAAAAGACATATCACGTCATAATCGGTGATGATATACATGTTAAGAGCCATTCTCTGTAATGATTTGTAATTTTATATAGGAGCTGTGGCACGCATAGTCTCAGAATTTCTCCGAACTCTCTATGATAAAAGTCATTGATACCCTAAACTGAAATCAGGCAAAAATTGGTTGCTATGATTTATAGTTACCATGGCAACATGTCTTAAAGTTCGAAAAATGGCATTTTTGAACATGTTTAGAGTCCCCATAGTTAACCTTTGCGGCAAAGCAAACAATTGGCAATGACTGTTTCCAAAAGTTGAAGGTCAGATGTCTCAAATGCATGATAAACATGTTTGGTAAATCAACTATTACATACGTTACTATGGTAACAAAGTATTCAAAAGTAAAAAAAATATTCAATGAATTTTATAAAGTCATACACATAAAAATAAAAAGCAATTATAGGATGAAATGTGACCAAATAATAGAAAAAAGAGCCTTGAAACATATACCAAGAACAAAATATGATATTTCATTTTGGTTGGCAATGGTTGCCAAGGTTTTTATACCACAGAGAGCCTTCAAAGTAACACTATGTATGTTTAAATCTGATCCTATGTTTTAAAAAAAGCACATTTCCTCATAACTAATGATCAATTTTATAAGATGTTGGTGTGCTCCAAGTTTTCCCATTTGAAAAAATTCAGATTAGATTCTTTAAATAGAGCGTTGCTATGGAAATAAGCAGAAAATATATGCTTAAAAACCTGAAAAATATTTTCATTCCTTGGATACGTACCCTTAAATGTAGATTCCCAAAACTTTTATGATTGATATTTATTAACAGCTAACATGACTTATAATTTTGACTATCATCCAATCTCTAAGTGGATGCAAGAAGTTGGCTCACAGGATTTAATATTGATATAAAGTTCACAAAATCGAACATTTTCCCTTCTTGGTAACCATAGCAACAGTGTTGTTTTGTTCATCAAATTTTATCAATATATGATATTGAACTTCAGTTCTAACAGATAAGTACTATTCAAGCCGAGTCCTTTAATTTGTTTCTTGATTAAATGGCAATTTAATTCTTAATGCAGCGAAAAATAATTCACTTTTAAGTACTGGTATTTTGTTTCCATGGTAACACCACAAAGTAGCAATTATACCCAATTTTTCTTATGGTTTTGGAGTTGCAAGGTCCTAAGGATGCAAATTTGCCAGTTTGAATTTTCATGTTGTTCCTCAAGACAGTAGCATTAACCCAATCTTAAAAATGGTTTTGCATGGTTACACTGTGTTACCATGGCAACCATAAAAGTTATATATAGAATAATATTGCTTATACTTATATACTTAAGGTCAAACATTTTCATTGCTTTTCTTAAGTCGTTGATTGAGTTTGAGCATGTAACACCTACCAATAGTGAATACGGAGTGTTTTTCAGCATATTTCAGCATTTTAAATGTATTCCAAAAGTACCCTTGGTTACCAAACTGTGAAAATCTTACTTAGAGATATAATCTAAACAGTTTCTTTACAGTATAATTGACATCAAGGTGTCATGTTTTTGTGAGAATGGTTTGTTTGCTTTTTCTAGTTTTTATTAAGCCACAGTGAAGATTTAAAGTGACTTAAAATCTCTATTTTTCAAACTTTTCTGGCTGTTGCCATAGCAACCGAGACACATAGCAACGAAATTTTGTTTGATATTTGTTTCTGGTGTCAAGTACTAAGCATGGGTGAAGTTTCATAAAAATCGGTGACCATGCGTGGCAATGAAGTTTAAGTGGTTACAGAGAATGGTTATTAAAATCAACATTTCTTGTGTAAATTATTTTATTCTAAATTTTAAAAATTGTTTTTTAAACATTTAAGTTTAGAAATTATTATTAATAAAATTTTTAAAGATCTTGCCATCATTTAGATATTGTGAAGTTGCCCAATCCACACATTTGTTTCTCTTTACCCTGCAGTCTGACGTCAGTGACGTCATAGACGTAGTGTTTGAATTCTCAGTGCAGCGAGATCAAGTACACACCCGTCATGATCAGTTTTATTTCATAATATTTACATTCGCTGTGTTTTTCTACTAAGCCAACTGTGAAATTGATTTGAAAACCATTTTCGTGTATACTCACGCGTAGAAATATACACGGAGAAACGTGCGTTAACGTGACGTCACAATGAGACTAAAGCGACGTTATTAAAAATGCAACAATAAATATAAGGCATGCAGGAAAAAATTCAAATATTGAGTATATTTTAGCTGCTTCCAAACATGTAAAATGTTCATATAAGGAATGTTTTTAAGTTTTGTGTGAATTATTGGTGTGAGAATCACACAGACTTGCACGTAGGCATATTTTTCATGAAGCGCGCTACGTGACAAGTCTGTGTGATTCACACACCAATAACTCACACAAAACTTAAAAACATTCCTTAAATAAACGGGTCACAGTCAATGTATCGTGATAAATTTCTGAAGCAGATTTTTTAAAATTAATATTTTTTCGTGTTTAGTAGCAGAGATTCTCGCTATTTAGATAATTTTGAATGTTCATATATTCGAGTGACGTCACAATTGATTTACGGCACTCGGAAAATACAAACGTGAAGCGTTTTTATCATGCTTACGTCTAATTCAACGATGTCCTGTGCGATATTGAGGTAAGCTTCACCCTGTGATATTTATGCAGTTAAATAATTACGATGAAGGACTGACATTCACTCGTAAATTTAGAAATATTTATCGACAGATTTTTTTCCAAATGAGGTTTTTGTCGTTGAAGCTGCCTTGAAAATTGCAGAAGTTATCCCAAACACATTTTATATAAAATAAAAACAATTGCTTTCAGATAATTTAAACACTATGAATATCATGAAATATTTGAGTATATAGTGTTATATATCATATTTATCGTTTTTGCGTAAAAATTCGCATTATACGGACATGAAGTATCTAAACTCCATACAAACTCTAAACAGGGCGGTATTTGTGGGGCGATATCTTTTAAATAAGTCAAGAAATCCCATGACAGGACCGTTTTAAAATGTTAAGTACATCTAATTTAGAAAATGAAATTGCAAACTACAGAAGTAAAGGAGAGATTTTTATTTGTGGAGACTTTAATGCTCGTACTGGGGGGCTTCAAGACTTTATACAACATGACACACTAAATGATACATTTTTGGATTGCCCTCTGCCAGAAAACATATATGAGCCTGACATTTTAGTGAACAGAAACCAACTCGATAAGACATCAACTTTACATGGACATCTACTCACTGATATTTGCAAAACATATAGATTATCTATCCTGAACGGAAGATTTCTTGGTGACTCACTTGGCTATTTCACATTTTTTAATTCTAATGGTTGAAGCACTGTTGACTATATGTTGGCATCAAGTCAGTTGTACCATAAGATCGAACATTTCAATGTAATACCTCCAACAGAAATATCAGATCATTGTCATATAACTGCAAGTGTGCATATGAATATGGACTTATTTTGTAACGAAAAATATAAAATACACTCTTTAAAGGGGAAATACCTCTGGTCAAGCACTTGTAAAAACCAGTATATAGAAGCTATTAATGAGGAAGAGACAAAAAATCAAATACTTATGTTGAATAATTTAGTAGATGAAATATATGATGATAAGAAATATGACTCAAATGATCTTGTCGATAAACTGTCAAATATTATAATTAATGCTGCAAATAAAAGTGTCCCATTTAAACCTGCAAAACTTACAAAACCAATTAGAAAAAATGAACAAAAACCAAAATGGATGGCTACAGATTGTCTACTTCTACGAAAAGAAGTTAGAAATTTAGGGAAGAAAGTACAAAAATATCCAAACAACTGTGAACTAAAACATGCCTTTGCAAACTGTAGA